AAGTAATCTTGCCGCAAATTTGCAAGCACAGTCTATGCGCTGGACAGTTTTATCGACGCGATCAAAGAGATCCATGACCTTGAGTTCTCTTTCTTTATGCAAACGCTCAAGTTCTTCAAGAGCCTTTTCACGGCATCTCTCTAATGCAGCTTTATAAGCATGAAAAGCTTCGTTGATTACGCCTTCAGCCTCATCTCGCTGGCGTTGCAAATCTCCAAGCGCATCATCAAGTTTAGCTGAAGCACTGCCAGCTGTAGCAGCACGAGCATTAGCTTCCACAATGAAATTTCTCAATTCAGCACGTAGATTCGGCTCGACATCGACAATTCTCTCACAACGATGTTCACCGACTTTGTGATCAACCGTTAGACATTCAGTGCAAGCTCCGACCTCACACTCACAACAGTAAAATTTGAGACTCTCCCCAGCATGACGAGCGCAAAAAATTGGCTTATGCACAGCAGCTTTCTCCTTAGAGGACCTTAGAGCATCAAATGGAACTACTCTGTGGTTTTCAAAGCATCTCATAAATTCGTGAGCTGAATTGCAGTTGGAACACAGAAAATGAGAGCAATCAGTGCATCTTGCAACAGCAGGTTCCTTGCTCTTGCAACAAGTGCAAACAACAGATTGATCCATTGAAGAAACATCCAAAATGTTGGTGAGCACATAGTCGGAAGGAAGGGATGCAGCCCCACCTCCAGGTATCTGATGACAAAGTACACACAATTTAGATGTGTGCCTACAAGAAAATTGAATTGCCTATTTAAAAGGAAAATTAATTTATGAAATATTGATCTACCTTGGTTTCTTGTTTGCATATTGGGCATTCCACAGCCAGATCAAATTTCAGAGAATCGCCAGCTTCATTAACCATCAACTTGTCAATGCAAGCTTCACAAAATACATGAAGGCAAGACAAAACACGAGGACTGCATAACTTATTGCTGAAAATAAAAAGGATTGTTTGTGTCCATTATGAAAATGATTTTAGTTATTTTTTTTAAGTGCTCATTATTAAATATTGCAAATATTAATGTGTTGTACAATACTTACTCGCAAATCTTACAATTTTGCTCTTGTTTTCCATTATCAGTTGACTCCAAAGAACCCTCATCTCCCAGACTAACTAAACCACCCCCATAAAGATCCCCATTCATTTCTTCCATTTTAACTTACAATTATGTTGGTGTATAATGAATATATTCTTGACCTTACTCAACAAGAACCTGTAACAAGAAATTAACTCATTTCTTTCATGCCTTGAGAGATGATTCAGAAGAGAGTTAACTTAATACACATTTGATACTCAAAGTTTATTACATAATCTGTGTTTGTCACTACACAAAGGCAATTTACATTTTCAATACATTATGTAGACACTAAAAGATATTTATTTAAACATTCACAAGGTATGTAGCATTTCTTTAATTATTATATAACTAATTCTTAAACAGCCACATTACAAAAAACATTAAATAAAACATTGTCTTCCTAATTTCCCACCATTCCTATAGATGTAAATCATCCACAAAATCTTAAAATAGTATGCCTAGTAACATTGATTCTCTTATGAATGACATTAACAACACTTCTGATTGATATTCAGAAGCTAGACAGTAAAAACAAAGCAGGCATGACACAATGACTAAGTCTGTGTTAAAAGTTTATATTAATATTGTGGTAGTAATATTTGTTTCCAAAATATAGAGATTTAGGGATTAAAAAGAATTCAATTATGAAATCCTTCTTCTTTCAACATGTTGGGGTGTGGTTATCGAATGATGGGCTGTAGCATCCTCTAAGATCACCTTAGGCAGGCACATACAACTATTAATAATTTTCATGATACTACAGTGCAATAATAGTAATCATGGTCACGTCAGGAGGCAGATTTCAATAAATAAAAAAAAAACTAAATCGTAATAATTATACCATAACTTTAGTGTTCTGGTTAGTTAATGTTGAATATAAAGAGTACAATATAGGTACTGTGGTGTTCACATTAAATTAATTAATAAACCATACATTTTATACACTTAACATTCAATTAATTCATGAAAGAACAACTGAACCACTGTCACATTTCAGTACATTCTTACAATGACAACTCAAGATTTAAAGCTATTGATATTTATAATATATTGGTAGAAAAAATTAGATGAAGTACCCATGCACAATGCAGTGGTACTCTAGCCACATAGTATTTAATAAACTCAATGTGAAAGAACTGAAACTATTTCCAATTATGTAATGCTAAATTCAATAATGATTTCGTATACATAATGATTGAGTATAATAAAATTGTACAAAGTAGTTCTTTTCTTTGGTAAATTAGAAATGATAAATTCCAAAATAGCTATTCTTCGTGCGGATTATTTTTGAAACAATGACATCTTGACAACAGACGAAAAATCAATACTGACAAAGGATCAAATTCACGAGTAAATGCACACTCAGTACAATGCTGATGGTAATTGAAAGTGGAAAAAATATAAATTTGCCGCCGACTTGAACCTGATAGGCGAGGCTAGAAATTATGAATATTTAAACTCCTTTCGATATCATCGCGTAACGAAAAGGACCTTCATAAGAAAATTATAAAATACAGCAAACATATCACAATTTCATAGGTGACAAATACTATAAAATATATAAAATAATTCGTCAAAATGGCTCCATACACTACATAGGTACGTACCTATCGCACAATAAACGCAATGCACCATGCAGACAATGGCGAAGGTCGATAATCCGTATTAACACGTTTTTTGCCAAATATGGCAGAAAAATCCCATAGGTTAATTATTTCAATAATTAATTATAATTATAAATGATTTACTAACCTTTAACAGTTTATAATTTGAAGGAAAAGCTGATAATCTACGCGCAGAAAGTTCTACCACGCCGTAACTATGAGAATACTCATCACTTTGTAAATAAATAAAAAATGAGCATCAAGTCTCAACAGATATTTTTTTTAAATAAAAGTGGTTTCTTCGATGAATTAAATTAATGTTTTGTCACGTTCTCATTTTAAAAAGGCGAATACATCACGGTGTATTGATTTTCTGCGTAGTTGGTTGCGCTGTCTGTGGCTTAGGTATTGCCAGCAGCCAACGACTTTCAGTATCGGTTTTTTGGAAAAGGAACGAATGAAATGAATTATTATTTAATTTTATTCACACTCCATAACTTCTTTGGAGTTTGGACGCCTTGGGCTGTGACAATGGCATAACTTATTTTTATTGCTTCGTAAATACTTTACGTCTAATAAGAATAAGAACGTTTATTTGCACGAAGTATGGTAATTACAGGTAGTAAAAATTATAAAAAATAGTCCCACATACATCGCCTACTGTTGTCGGCATGCAAATGCATTCGTCACTTGTACCTTACGTCCCCCGTGACTTTGATTAAATTCTCAATGTAGATGAAAAGTTTTCCGAATAAATACTCAGTAAACTTTTCAGTATTTATCGGTATTTATCAATTTTGAGTCAAGGACGATGAAAAAGGCGGACGTAATAATGTCACTTATAGAAATGATTGAAGCACCAAAAAGGTCAGTAGTTTATTTATGTGTGCGTGTATTTGCAGTATGAAAAGATGACCGCTGATGAAGCGAAAGAGGTATGTAGGAATCGTAACAATTGGTGTTTCATAGTCTCTGCCTACCCCCATGGGAGACAGGCGTGAAGTTATGTATGAATATACCTATATACTTGCAGCACCGTAATCCGACTGGCGATGAAATCTTTTACGTGTTTTACGTGTACGGCTGAATATCATTAACTATGAGTGAACTACTGGACTATGGGTCTCTTCTCTGCAAAAGAGAGATTTATCATATAAATAATAATAATCACGCTCACGCCTGGCAGGTTGGTCACCGGTTAGTAAGTTGATCGGAATCTTTTAAAATAATTTATATTGTGCATTATTATTTTGTCGTTGTGGTGAAGAAGTCAACAGCTTTGGACACCGCGGTTTATAGTCGTAGTGCGGGCCGTTTTGCTCGACACGCAAGTATTAATGACGTAAATTGTCTCTTGTTTCCGTTGGCGTGCCACTTACTTTAGAACCTAATACGCGATGATGGCAAGAGACCCGACGGTATGTCATTATTCCCTTAGAAGATGGGTAGGTCTTTAGTAATGGGACGCCACTTGCCTTGATACTCTGGCGCATCTTCCAAGCTCAGGGTGTCGAGCCGGTGCTGCCACCGCTGCTGCTGAGAACCTCAAACGGCGAAAGTATAATAGGCTGATTGGCAATTATGCTTTCGAACTGTTTGCGGTTGATACTTTAGGGCCGTGGGGCCCGTGTGCACATCTTCTTTACAAAGATATTGTAAGGAGGATGGTTGACAATTCAGGTGATGGAAGCGCTGGTAACTACCTTTTTTTTTTTTTTTTTTTTTTTTTTTAATGGGGGGAAATCCTCATGGACTGCCTCCGCCTGGGGAAAGGCGGAGGGGTGTGCCGGACTCTTACCGGCTAAAACCACCCCAGTGCCTCCTCGCACGTGCGTGCGGGGCCGCGGGAGTCCAAATTCATCCGCAGCCCCGCATTACAGTGCCGGCCCGTAGATCAGGGCCCCGTCACCTGCACGGAGCAGTGCACCACGTGCATCGCCTCAAAGGCGTACGCCGACACCCGCGCGCGCCTTCGACTCGGGTCTATCGATTCGGGGGCGGGGACTTCCCCAAGTCCTTCGCCCCTGGACCCATTCATGGGGGCCGTAAGAGGGCCCGTACTATCAGCTGGTAACTACCTTGGGCAAAGGTTACGCATTGCATCTTAACTGGACTGGCTACTACCTTGGGCACCGTACCTCACGATAGTGATGAGGAAATATTTTATTAGTGATTTAATTATTATATATTTATACTTTGTTTACTCCAAGTACCTATTTCATTTAGGAAATTATATTCTAGTGCACTATCGAGATTTGTACATCCCTATGACACGTGTGTTTATGTTATGTCAATTTGACTGATGACATGACAATAGCCAGCAGTCTAAGAAACGTCAAAATAGCTGAAGATTGTATACTGGATATTTTCATGCTGTTTTTCTGAAAAGAAGAAAGAAAGCTTTAATTCTTTAATTAGCTGAAGAATTCAGATCGAAACGTGTTTGATAATTAATCTATCATAAAACAAGTCACAAACACAATGACGTTCATACCAAATTGGGAAGAGTTTGAAAAGTCTGCGGAGATGTTATATTTAAGAGATCCTTTAAACACTCGTTATACTATTAAGTATTCCCATACGAAAGGTGTATTCGTAGTTAAAATTACAGACAATAAAAAGGTAACTTTTCACATTATTGGTTTTTTCAGTATCACAATTATTTTTATCATTCATCTGGTCTGTCATATAAAACCCACATTGAGCTGTGCATGACTTAAAAGAACCAAGTAAATACTTTATTATTTAACTAGTTTTGGTAAATCACAATTTGAATAATGTCACAACTTTTGTTTACAGTGTCTTCAATATAAAACTGAGGTTCAACAGGATGTTAGAAAAATTGATAAGTTCATATCAAATCTTATAAGGCATATGGCATCAAATGATAACTAATATGGTAATATTGTAAAATAAGTTAATAAATATATTCTTTGTAAGGATATTTTACTTTCCTTTAAACAATATTTCATGAGTTGGGCCCTTTAATTCATTTTATCTTATAAATAAGGCAATTCTTAATGTCAACATAATTATGAAGAATAGTAATAAAATGAAAGTCTGTTTAGGTGATGATAATTTTGTTATGTATGGATTAGCAACATTTTGTTCTCATAAATTATGCTGATGTTATCTACTAATAATTTAATTTCAGTCGGTTCTAAATAAAGGATGTTTATTTTGAAATCTCTGCAATTTTAATTTTTAAATGTGTGGGATCAATTATATTTGTGCACATCATTTAGTTTTTTGTAAGTTTGATGCTGTGTTGTCGTTGCATTGTTCTCAAATATATACACAATAAGTAAGGATCCTATAATGTATTTGTGAGATTGTAAAAAAAAACATTTCTTTTAAAAGAGTAATGATGGAGATTCTAATTCGTTCCTTTCCATATGAAACTATACTTTGGAACAAGCATCTAGCTTCATTGACTATACAGATGGGGCCCACTAGGGCTAATGCCCGATACGGAGCTGCAGAAGGCCTAATGGGTTTAGGAATGGGGTGGTTTTTTGTCAGTAATAGTCTGACACTCCCTCTCGCATAACCCAAGGCGGGAAAAGTCATTGAATTCAATTTCACATTTCGAAAGTGCCTAATTAAGGATTAATAAATTGAGATGAATGCTTTGACTTGCATGTTAACAGCTATTCTTCCATTTCCACTGGACAGTTTTGTTATTGATAACTAACAGAATTCATAGAAAATGGTTACCTACCAGGGTAAGTTAAAAGTAATAAGTACTGGTTCGTATAAAACTATTTCTATAATTTTTTTTTTCAAATTGTACCGAATAAATTGCTAGAATATTCAAGACTCCATGAGATCATACTAGGTATATAACACATATATGAATCATAGCAATTGGCATTTCATAGTCTGCCTACCCCCATGGGAGACAGGCGTGAGGTATATATGCATGTGTTGGTTTCTTCCATGATGTACTGCTACGAAAGCCTCCCTCCCTCCCTTCCCCTTCTTCCCAACCTCCAGTCACACCCCAATACTTTCTTATTTTTATTTCAATAAAGAATATGATCTGGCATAAAATACCCTGCAGTTAACTAAAAATCGCGCCTTACTCATGTGAAGCTCTACTAGGTTCGAGCTACAGGGGGCCAGTAGGCTGAGCGACATCGCTGCGTCCGCGCACGTTGATCATAGTCCTGAGGAAGAGCTCCCCGTGGCTCGAAACTAATAGAGCTTTTTTCAGTATAATTATTTACATGAGTAGTCTGCGATTTTCAGTTAATTTAGTATGTACCCTACATTGGCTGCAGTTATTTTTTCTGGCATTGTCATTTGAAGGGGTTGGTACCATAGAAGATTGTAATAATTGAAATATTTTTTTTATTTGTGTTCTTAGTTGATAGGTACGTCCTACAAGTTATTGCTATCATGAGAAAGTAGGTAAGGTAGTAAAAGAGAATAGTGAATGAAGAGGATGTGATTAATTAGTATGAGAAGTTGCGGTTGAAGAAGCGTAGCCTGTATTGAATATATGCAGCCTTTAGTAGCGTAGCCTATGCGTAACTACCTAACTAAAATAAGGTAGGTATCGGAATAATTACATAAGGATCTCCATTTTAGTCGATAAGGCTTTACGTGCAGACGGCGCGTCGCGTTCCGCTCGCGCTTCAAAGAGCCATCAGGCCCCATCTATGGTGGCCTGATGGCTCTTTGAAGCGCGGGCCACCACAGCCCAGCAGGGCTGATGCCCGATAGGGAGCCGCGGAAGGTCCAACGGGTTACCGGGGTTACGGTTTGAAGAGTAGGAGTAGAAACAGGATGGATTTTAGTCATTAAGAGTCTGAAACGACTTCTCCTAACCCAAAGCGGGAAGGAGAAGTTTTCTCCCTTAGAAAAAAGTCAATACCTCTTTCAAAATTCACTTAGCGGACTTAATGAAGACTGCACGGTTGGCGCGTTGGCTGGGCAACTGGCTGCCGCGCAACGTGTCGCGGGTTCGATTCCCGCACGGAACAATTCTTTGTGTGATCCACAGATTGTTGTTCCGGGTCTGGGTGTCATGTGTATGTGAACTTGTATGTTTGTAAACGCACCCACGACACAGGAGAAAATCCTAGTGTGGGGCAACGTTTAAAAAAAAAAAAAAAAAAAAAAAAAAAAAAAAAAAAAAAAAAAAAAAAAAAAATTCAAAAATATATTCGTAAGGAAAGTAGTAGATTCCTTGAGTTTTGGTAGGCACATAACATGTATATATATAAAAATGAATCCCTTTTTCCCTTGGTCACGGCATCACGCGTGAATGGAACGATTTGACTAATTCTTTTTTGTTGTATTTGTTATTATTAGAGACAGAAAAAATCCCGAAAATCTTACAGGAACGGGAGAAAACGGGATTGCGCTTACGAAGTCGCGGGCAGAAGCTAGTAATATTATCATTACACCTCTTCTGGGCCCCGTACTCTAACGCATAGCCGGTAAACAGACAAATCGTAGGTACAGTATAATATTCTTTAGATATTTTATAAATTATATTGTACAATGTATAATCTGTATTGTTCTGTTTGTAAGAATTTTACTATTTTAGTGAGGAATTTTATATATGTACGAAGTTTTATTTTGCATTAATTTTAGTAGAAGGCTGAATAAATTGCGTATTGGTGCTCGTTTTTTCCATTTTGATACAAAGGCTTTGAAGTAACCACGAATAATTTATTTGAGTTTCTTTTCTTGAAACGGGATATTTTTGCTTTTTATTAGCACAAAAACCTATATAGCTTAGAGCACTGCTTATATCGTACGCCTTGAAGCTTTTTGAAATAAAAAAGACTATCTTATATAATTTTTTGATTCTCATTGATTTAAAAAACTCTATGATCGTCTCTACATTATCTACAACAAGCAATGTCAAAAATTGTTGATGGACATTGGACATGTTATTTTACTGTCATGCAGTGTGAAACATAAATAAAGCATATTAGTTTTTGTAAAAATCATGACTTAATACTCAGGCCTAAACTGTTAATATGAAATAATAAATTTAATAAAATAACTGCCACTTACATATTTGTTTTAATAAATGACATTATGGATGGTTTAATTCACGCGGCATTGGAAGCTGAGGTATTTCATTGCTTTCTTCTATTTATTACCCGAGCTTTACTTATCTAACCGTCCTCGTTATCAGATTTGTTTATAATCAAAAATGAATATTTCAGGTAATACTAAACCGGGCGAAACATGTGAACTCAAACTTGTCCCAATATAACAGTGGTGTCCCAGACCACAAAATGACTTGGACCCATGATAAGATGCACCTTGCTGAATCTGTTGATGAATCTAGAATGAAATTTCAACGTAATTCGTCCGGCTCTGCTTCCAAAGCTACAGAGAAGTTTGATTTATTTAAAAAACTTCATGAACTTTACAACGAGTTAAGTAGAGATGAAACGTTACAGGTGAACTATGTAAGTACAGGAGCACTCTATTTAGCTTCATGTTCATGTCTTCTAATTATGTTGTATGGTTATTTGTGTTTTATTTCAGGTTTATGTCTGTAGATATGGCCTAAACTCAATATTTTGTAATATAGCTCTAAACCTTATGGTGTTCAGTAAATACTGTTTAATATTGGATTATAGGCTCAAGTTATGGATGGTTTTAATTTCTTTTTTACCTATTAGTTAATAAGAATGTGAATATGATAGATTTTAGTGGTCTAAATGATTGTGATGTATTGTACACCATAACACAACTAGTATCATACATAAATATACCAGTAATTATACATTTGTTAATCCAATGATCTGTCCAATTAGCGCATTCAATATTATTACCACTTCTTAAATCATAAAACATAAATACTAAATGAGAAAGTACCATGAGTAATTCAGTTAATATTTTTTCCACATTACAGCAAGGCCTGAAAACCACATCATATCTATTGGAGAAGTTATTAGCAATATATAATCTTAATACATTAATAATAAATCTGTATCCAGGCAATAAGGGATATTCTTTATCATTAAAAGTAAATGGCAACTCACAACATTTACATCCACCGGATGGCCATGTAAGTAGATTTTATGATTAATAAAAGAGTATTAATTAGCTCCTTGTTATAATATACACATACAGTCATAACAGATATTGTTGATAAATCCTTTAAATCCTGATAAAATCGAAACTGCTATAAGTGACCTAAGCATCGCCTGTATTTTAGTTACAACATTACAATAGGACTACCTTTTACCCAAGCCCATGAAATATGCCACTTCTTCATTTAAATAAAAGTGGTTCTGTATATACTATTCTCACTGGAATACTATATTTCTAGTCATCATCAAATCAAGAAGAGACTTTGATAGAGACTCCCCGCTGGCCATATGAGGAAGAAGAATTATTGAGTTACATTGACAATGAAGAACTGCCTGTAGTGTTGTTAGACCTTTTGGAGACTGAGCACTCATGCCTGTTTTATTCTGGATGCATAATAGCACAGATCAGAGACTATAGACAGGCATATCCAAGTTTTCTCTGCGATACTCATCATGTACTCCTAAGGCCCACTAATCAGGTATGTATTTTATTGGTTAACTAGCGACCCGCCCCGGCTTCGCACCAATGCAATATGCATGTATTATACATGTAAACCTTCCTTAAGAATCACTCTATCTATTAAAAAAGGTAGGTATATATTGTAGTTAATAAAAATAGATCTATTACAAACATTTTAGGAACATAAACGGTATAAAATTATTTCCACTGTGTTCTTAGAACTCGTAGCAGAATTTTACATTTATCTCTGTATTTTTGAGGATTTAAAAAAAAAGATCTTAGCAGCTCATTCTTTAAAATAAACAATGAGCAATGGAACAATACACACTTGTTACAATAAGTATGGGCTGGATCCTGTCCACCCCGAAGAATCTTTGATTTGGATTCATACCAAAATTATGTGTGTATATTTAGAAAACAAAATGTTAAAATTTTTCTCATAACATTATTCTAAAATTATATATTTACTCATACTACATGTAGTTTTTGTTGTATGGAGTACTTACACATCCTTTTATTCGACTTTAAACCTTATAACTTAGCAGTAAAGTTAAATTTTAACAGCTTGAATTAGTTGTGCATATCATGCACAAATTCTAAACTGTAAAATATTATCACTTTGAGTGAAACTGAAAGGTTAAATTACTAAAAAAATGGTAGAAGCGAAACTGACATTTTTCAATTAATTCTTTAGCAAGATACCATATTAAATTACATAACATAACATGACGCCTTTTATCCTCGAAGGGGTAGGCAGAGGTGCACATTATGCCACTGTACAATGTGGTTTACATTGTGCAGTCCACTTTTCACTATTTATGTTATGAGTCCCATGTAATAGGGAGTGAGCCTATTGCCATATACCGGGCACAATTCCCGACTCCGTGCTACTACTAAGATTCTTTTTAAAAACCCATATAATATATATAATACTTTGCCCGAACCGGGAATCGAACCCGAGACCCCTTGCCCGGCAGTCGCACTTGCGACCACTCGGCCAACGAGGCAGTTCATATTACATACCATAATATTAAATTTTATCGATATGATATGTCCTAATGCATGCTTGCGAACATACTCGTTTTATAAAAGAAAGAGAAACATTATTTCAGGCTAAGATTTCCTATAGTGGTTGTGTCACATAAAAAAAATGTACCTACTATTAATTCAATATGCAATTTATAGTCATTGTTACAAAAAAGTATTTCATTTGACTCTATGTCCTACAGAGTATAATAACTGATGCAATGTGTATCGGTGGACGTTGTGGCTGGGCGGGCGAGGAGCGCGGAGCTCTGGAAGCGGTGGAGGCGGCACTCGTGCACGCGGCCGCGCCGCCACTGTGCCTCGACCCGCGCCCCGCCGTCGGCCTTCTAGCCGCGCGTCTACATGCTGCCCCACGACTGTTTAATACGCCCCGGATTAGAAGGCAGGCCAAACGGTTCTCACAGGTATGAAGAATATCGTGTCTGACTGATGATAATTTTTTGAGTAATATTGTATTGTGTTTTTTATTTCCGAGCACCTTAGTAGGAGGACCACGTTATAATAAAATAATAGGTACATTAATCCGAGGAAGTCAGACTTCCGAAAAGCCTTCCAATTAATTAATGATTTACATTTTTTTTCACAATTATGAATTACTGTAACTTCGAATATTCCAGTTAATTGTATGTATTCTACTTTTTAGGTGGCAGTGAATAGAAAAAGGAAATTGGATCAATTCACACATTATCACGGTTTAGAGATATTAGATTTAATACATCGTCAAAGAGCGAAAAATAGTAGACAATCAGTGCCACTAACACGACTGACATCTAAGTATCCGAAAAAGCCACCAGAGGTAAGATTGCTATTATTAGTCATTGGATTTTTGTTACATGTTATAATAATTTAATATTGTTTTTAGGTGTTCAAACCAATCGAGCCGCCAAAAATGGATCCGCTATCACTAGCCGTGCCGTCGGAGCCGGGCGGTCCGCTGAGACTGGCGCGCGCGTACGAGCGGCCGCGGCCCACGCCCGACTGCTACCCGCAGCTGGTGGAGGAATACATCCTTGAGACTGAGAAGACGTCACCACACGCCAGCGCTGGTTTCTTCCACATCAAACTATCAATATTACAGAGGGCCGCCGACCAGGAGTTCCTTGGAGAACTCTATGTAGACAGGGACCACGTTGAAGGCGAAACGAATGGCGCCGCATGTCGGTTTTCATTAGGTAAGTTTTTGTACCAGTCATCACCCTGCGAACAGCTTGTAACAGTCTACACAAGAGGGGTTTACCATAATCCCCACGCTTGGCAAATGATTTGGAAGTCGTATTTTAAAAGGTTCAGGTTTATCAGAGAATTCTGCTGCTCAGTATCTGTTGTAGTCCCTTAATTATGTGTAGTAGAAATTCTTGGTCTTATGATACCCACGGAAAGAGTAAAAGTACTGACAGTATTGTACACTGCTATCAAGACATGGTTTCCTATTAATCACTTGTATTTGTCTACGATTTCCTTTTCATGTTTCACTGCAATCCTTATCGAATAAGATTACACACAGTAAATTAATTACACACACATGGACCTAACAATAAATTTTATTGACTCATTATATAAATATGGATTATATCTGTATTTTAACGATTAGGTAATATGTAAACAATTTTATTTTTGTTCCTCAGGGTCAAGACTACAAGCGAATAAATATATACAACAGTTCACAGAGATATTTACCGAGGAAGGTCGGAAGTCTGTTAGGATAAGACATGTAGTGCCTGGCCAAATGCCGAGGGTATCCTTTACGGGAGGAATGAGGGAACTGGTGAGGAAACTTGTAGTGTGTTGTGTGAGTTTTCTTATGAGGAATTGAGATTATACATTTTGTATAACTGTCTTCTAGAACCAGCAACTCTTGCTACAACAGAGGTCGGCCGCTTCTGGCGCAACGACAGTACAGACTAACGCCACAACCGTTCCTGTTGTGTAAGATACTATTTCTCATATATTTATTTATTTAGGTAGGTATACATATTGTTTATCGATATAGAGTAGTTTGTCATTTTAATATACATATTTGCAGGACTTCCACGATACAGTCAACAACGAATACACATACCAACGTCCGTCAATTACCCATCCTGGTAAGCTTTTTTATTGAATCATAGCTAGGTTGAGTAATTATGGAACAGCGACGATAAATAATTTGTAACCATGTTTCTTATAAGAACTAGTTCTTATGTTCTCGATATATGGTTCAATTTTAAATAATATATTTTTTGTACAACATGCCAATTTATGGAACAATTTATTAGTTTTTCATTCGAAATAATTATAATAAATATTACAGCAGGCACAGTTACAGCAAGTGGGTAATGTAGCAGCGGTAGGGAACGTGGTGAGCAATGTGGGCAACGTCGTGGGCAACGTGAGCAACGTGGGCAACGTTGTGGGCAATGTGGGCACGGTGGTGGGCAACGTAGTGGGCAATGTGACCGCCACCAACGACACGGCGCTGAAGCAACAACCCTCCCCTACGACACCACGACTTTCGCCACAGGTGCGTATTTGTGGGGGGAACGTGGTCGGAAGCGTGGGCAACATAGTGGGCAACGTGGGCACTGTCGTGGGCAACGTAGTGGGGAACGTCATCTCTACTACTGACACTGCGGTAAAGGAACAGCCCACACTTGCGACACCGCTGCTATCGCCTCAGGTTTGTGTCCAATTATTATCTTGATCCACGCCTGAGTTCTTGAGTACTAAAGTGGGGTGAATAATAATCCATTAGGGATATAGTTGCACTTTACTACAGCTTGCTAATAAACGCATGTAGCTTTGTTTGCTTTATTTACTCTTGTTTGTGCTAAATCTTCAAGATTATCTTGATAAATGGTTAGCAACAGTCATTAGATTGATATGATCTGCTTGTAGTGGTTAATTAAACAAGGAGTAAGGTTAAAAATACTTAAATTAGCCTCGTATCTTCTCAACTGATTAAGCGATAACTATTGTACATATGTAGGAACTTATCACTGCGTTTGTGCATGTGTGTGAATGTTGTGATTCATTCTTTATCTGTTTACCTTTTAAATGACTCTCCTCGGATTTCTGAAAGGGTTATCAATTTATATTATTGGCTGATAATTATATATCATTATGCTATTTATGTTTAGTGGTTGTTTAGTGTGCTAGTTGAGTATGAGGTCTGGAGTTTGATGAAGCATTATTGCAATTTTTATTTTAGTAAGTGTAATATGTAGCTATCATATAACACTTATGTCATTCATATCAACTACGAAAATCACATACATATAGTGAAATTGAATAAAGGCTTTATTTTACTAAATAGATTATACAATCGCTACTTTAATATTAACGTAAGGCCTAATTATTTATTCTAGTTAGACTAAGTAGGTACTTATAAAATTCACACAAAATAATGAAATAAATTCGTCGAAATACAATAATGTATACTTTGCCTACAGGCGTCCACCAATCAGCTACTAGCGCAGCAGTTGACGAACCCACCGCAACCAATCAATCCTCAGAAGATGCAGTCCGCCATCATTCACATACAACATCCGTTAATGTCCACTGCTGGCACGTCTCAGGTAAAATAGAACATAATAAGTATTTAATAACAATAACAATATTTTTTAAATTTCAAATTTAAGTATAGTTGGTGTGCTTGGCTTGTTGTATAGGTATGGTGGTCCTAAATTGGCCTTAATTCCAAACTCCGTGCTGTCACCATAAATTCTTACATGACTCCATCTGTTTCAAGCCGAATACATATAGCTTTTAAGATTAATTTTTTATGGGATAAACCGGGAAAGAGCAGACGTATCACCTGATGGTAAGCAATCGGCATCGCTCATGGATACAAGGAACAAGCGCGTTACGGGCCTTTTGGGATTTAAGAATTTGAGGATGGTTAGGAATTCAGGGATTGGCTTGATTCGGGAGAGGGGGGGGGGAATTGGGCCACCGTTAACCTCACTCACACGACGAAACACAACGCAAGCGTTATTTCACGTCGGTTTTCTGTGAGGCCGTAGTATCACTCCGGTCGAGCCGGCCAATTCGTGCCGAAGCATGACTCTCCCACAATTGTTGAATAACACGGGCCATTTTGCATATTGTACCAGTAACAGTTACTACGATAATCAATAATGTATTCAGTAATTTATAAAAATAGCAAAAACACAGTTTTATTGATTAGTTTTCTAATTTCGTTTACCGTTTTGCATTGTATACACAATATGTGTAATACATCCTTACTAATATTATAAATGGGAAAGTGAGTTTGTTTGTTTCTTTCTTTGTTCCGTTTTCACGCCGTAACTACTAAACCGATTGCTTTGAATTTTTGCAGACGTAAAGTTAGAAGTCTGGATTAAATAATAGGGTACTTTTTATGCCGGAAAAATTTGATATTCCCGAGGGAAAACAAAAGTATTGGTATAGATGGCGCTGTGTGTATTGGTATATGTCACATAGGCTACTTTTTATCCTTATGTGACGCGAGCGAAGCCGCGGGTAAAAGCTAGTTGCATATAAATAAAAAAGAATTTAAAAAATTAATAGTGTGTATTGGTAGTAAAAGTAACTAAAACACATTTGTTTAAGCGTCATTTAACGCTATTACAAAGAGGCACGTGGATACAAATGTATCACACTGCACATGTTGTCTGACTGAACTGTCTGGCTGCACATTAATAATGATGTTCGATAATACGTGACGTCAAGTTTTATAATTATCTTTCAGCCTGCATTCTCTTCAATACTAGTTCAACCAATCAATTTTTTATAATTACTGTTATTAAAAAAAATCTATCAATTTCAACTAAAATCATGTCTTGGAAGAAGAGCACATTTTAAATGTGTCGGTCACTTTTTACGCCAGTTATAATGTTAATTATAAGGGATAAATCGAGAAACGAGTAGACGGATCACCTGATAGTAAGCAATCGGCATTGCCCATGGGCACCTGGAACACAAGAGGCGTTACAAGTGCAATACCGTATACTATATTAATTAATTGTTTTACTTATATTTTTCAATGTTATACGATGTAGTATTCCTGGCTCCGTGCTGCTATTATGAAATTTTAAAAAATATGCGATCACTAGATGCTTGATTACTTAACCAATGAGGTTAACACGCAGTTCATCGTGATGCATCATCACCAGCCTATAAGTGCCCACTGCTGAGCAAAGCCTTTTCTCACACGGAGGTTCTAGCATTAATCACTACGCTTGCTCATTGCGGGTGGGCGATTTCAAACTTATAATTACAAATTATAAGTCCAGGTTTCCTCACGACGTTTTCCTTCACTGTTTGTCAGTGGTGTCTAAATAATCTTAGAAAGTACATAGGTATAACTCGGAAAAGTGTCATTGTTACTTGCTGTTGGTAGGTTTCGAAACCGCACCTTCATGTATGAGAAGTGGGCGACTTAACCTCCGACCAACACGACATACAAGCTAATTATTAAAATATTGTTCATAAGAAACTATGAAAATATTGAGTATTAATTGTTGATTGTTTGTTTTAATTGACTCGATAAATATATTTTTTCTCTACATAGACCTCCTTATTAACATAATATTTCAAGTAGAATTAGTGTGCATAAATTGTAAAGAACTTAATTAAATATTTGTCTTTAAACACAGGTACAGAACATCCAATACACGAACACGACGACCACGCAACAGAAGGCTACCATAACCAAGCCTAGAACAACGAACCCAGCCATCAGCGCCCTTGTTACTAGTCTTATGAACTCTGCACAACAGTTCCAACAAGGTAAGTATTGCTATCTTTATCCATACTTTGTTTGGCTTTTTTTTTTGAGGGACAAATTTATTCAATGGCTGCTCCCGCCTTGGGTTAGGCGATAGAGAGTGTGAGACTCTTACTGACTAAAAACCACCCCGTACCTACTCCTGCTCTCCGAGCCGGAGCCCCGGCAACCCCCTAGGCTTTCCTCGACTCCGTATATACTTTGATTGGCTAGAGGGGCTCTTTCTCATGAGGAAGAACGAAGGCTGTGTCTGTGTGACATCCCCGCCACCGTGCACATTGCTCATGAGGAAGAGCCCCGAAGCCGACTAAGAGCCAGAGTTCGAAACTAGTAGAGCTTTTCTCAGTATATTCACGTGAGTAACCCGCAATTTGTATGTGTCACGATAGTTATTATCAAAACAAGGTTTGACCTAAATAAAAGTTGAGAAATAAAATAGTTGCTTACCAGAAAAGCGAGACCTAAACTACCTTTGAATTTTTTCTAGTTTGCGTATTGTAATGTTTGTGTCGTCGTGTCAGTACGACGTGTTCTTATGTTATAAATTATATAAAAAGACGAAGAGAGTAGATAACAATCCAATGCAATGATTACGTACCTAACCGTCATATTTTTAGGCAGAATTTACTACTTTAGGGCCCTATTTTTAAACGGAGACATGGAGTCGTCAATAATACCCGTCTTAAGCAATTATCAATACTCATTGCTTCTTTACGTGGGAAGATGTCTTTGTCCTGTTATAATACAGTTTTACGGCTGCATTTATTTCCGTCAATAATATCTATAATATAAGTCGCTAAACTATTTCCAGCGGCAGCCAGTCAAAATGCAGCGAAAGCAGCAGTCAGTACAGCGAGTAGCAACGCGACGATACTGAATCTATTGAACAGCGCGCCGGCCGCCATGACGCACGCCACCGCGTCAACTGCTGATAATAACACTATCGATGCCCACAAACTACTCGGCCGGGTCTCTATAGCTGGAGCAAGAATCATCACTGCCACTACCGCATCACATACATTACCCACGTACACACAACAGGTAATAATAAGGAGTCAATTGTAGCTTTCATTCAACGGTTTAGTCAAAATTATTAGGTATTTTTCAAAATTGGCATGGTAGGTATTGAAAATTTATGTTTCTATACACAATTGGCATCAATTTTTCGTTTCCATACAATTGAAAAGAGAACACAAAATTGGTGGTGATCAGCTAATGATTACCGTAGCCGTAGGAAATAACTTATTTTGTATTATTAGGGAGTTGGTGTCCAAGTAATGAGCGGTTACTCGAGAGAGAACGAAGCGACGAATGTGTCGAGTAGTGAAAGTGCTCTATTAGAGCGACTGATGGGTCCCGACACGTCGGCCGCGCCCACTACGCAGCAACAACCCGTATGCCATTTGCAGGTAACGGCATACATAATTGAATGTCTTAGAATAAAATCCCCTTGGTGTTAGCAAAGAGAATTGACCACCAATTGAGAATTCTAATAAGATACGACTAAGATATCCATAAAGAAACCATGAGAAAGTATCCCTTATTTGATTTGTTAAATAGAATTAGAGATGGGCATCAACTAATGTAACCAAGAGATAGTGTTTTCTTTTTATCTTGTAAAGTAGGAATTTCAAAAAATCGTTTAATATTGCGTTTTCATCCCATCCATCATCATTCAATGTACAAGCAATGTATGACGATTAGTAATTTAAAATAAACTTTTTAAAATTCCAGGGCTTAAGTTTAGCATCACTTCAAGGTCTACAAGGTATTCAGGGTCTTCAGAACGTACAAGTTCAGATCCCGGGTTTGTCTGCTCCGATATCTCTGTCCTTGAACGTGTCCGGGGCGCCTAGTGGTCTGCTAGTGTCGGTGCCCCCTACTACGTCCGTCGTACTCGCAAACCAACCTTCGGTGCTCTCTTTGCCTATAGGTAAGTTCAATATTGTATAATAGAGTTTACTATTTCAGTGTGGTAACCCTTGAATAGCTTCTTTGAACGACAAAGTCACAGTTTTCGATTTTGAAAATTCTCAATTAAGGACCACGGAATCGTGAGGTTTTTAATGAGCAGTGAATAACAAAAAGTGAGTGAGTTGGGGTACTACAGATTTTCAAATAGTTTCAATAATTCCTAGTCAAACTTTATGATGCTGGTAAGTACATTAGAATAATTTCAGTTATACTCAGTTGTGTGTTTGCTCACTCACACTACGTTGTGAGGTTATCTTAATAGGGTGTGTCTTAAAATTGCTACCAACCGAAAGACGAGGCATACATTCTCTAAAATCTTCTAAGACCCCATTGCGGTCTCATTGCGGTCTCCTTCTCCTTGCGGCGGCTTGACAAACACGGGGATTGTGGCAAACATCCTTTTAAGAGGCGGTCTTTATTTACCAGTGGAGTTATTCCTGATTATATTGGGTCAATAATTAGATATGTTGTATGTTCCAGCGCAACTGATGTCAGGCGGCGTGAAGGGCGGCGTCCGCGGCGGCGGCGTGCAAGTAGTGCGCAGCGGGCGCGCCCCGCGGCCCGCGCCGCGCCTCCGCCGCGCCCGCCGCCGCGCCCCCCGCCATGCCCGCGCCCAGCCTCACGCCGGCGCCGCATGCTGGTAAGCCATATACCTAACCTTCTTGCTTTATCCAGCTAAGAAGAATAATTTCAATCTATAAATTCAGGCAACTATTTACAAACTGCGCAATTTTGTTAAATATTTAAACAATCTCAAGAAAATAGTGTGACGTGATTAGTTGCATGAAATCACAAGTGTTAAGTATAAATTTTATCCTCTTATTTCTTAACATTGTAACTTTATCTGATCTAATATACGTTATTTATGTGTAATTGATGTTTATAAACACAACGTGTTTCATAGGAACGACTCAATTCATAAGCCAGGCGCAAGCGCAAGCGTTGAGCGCTCAACAAGTTCGGCGGAAATCGAATGCGGACAGTTCGTAGTGACGTCACAGAGTGCGACGCGACGCGACTTAGTGAAATATTGTGTAAATATTAACCCTAGCTAAATTATTATATACGTTAGTGACATAGTGAGTAATGACTAGTGACTTGTGCCGTGCGCAGTATCCACGCTGTGATCTACATACGTACCCGGCGGCCATCTCTAAACACCGATATTCGAGAAATAGACTTAACTTAGTGCGTTTATATAGTGGAATTATGGTTGTTTTAATGATACGTCACGCAGTTGTTATAAATCCAACTAGGAATAACATTGGTTAAGTTGCGGAATGTCCGTACCGTAAATGTTTTCTAATACATAACTAGGTTCAATATTAAATTTATAAATAAGTAGTATCCTCAATGTTGCTATATCCAATATAATAATGTCTGAAACAACGACTGAATTTTTATAATGTAGCAGTGTTCATTGAAACGGCTATGCCTATAGTTAAATTTATCAGTTCCATCACACTACATGTAAATGGTCTATTATGTTTTTGCAATGATTTGTATTGAATCATGTCTTTGACAAATTTTATTTTATTCGAATTATTTATCATATTATACTATTATCAATCATGTATTTTTATTATTTGAATGTCACAAATTATAATATTTATTGCGTATGATTTGAATTATTAATTGCAACATTGAAAGTGATTGGATCATGACATGGATTTTATTGTGAGAATAGAGTTTAACTGCATAGTAGAATAAAATAATATTGTTGATGAATCCGGATATTATTATCTTAATGAAGATTTTATGTACGACCTATAAGTGGATGTTGTTAGTGAGTTTGTTAGATTAACAAATTAAGGACAGCACACAGGACGATTTATGTATTCTGTAAAGTAAATTGAACTAACGTGATTACGTGTGGAGACTTGACTAACATCTACATTGTAGAAAATTCGAGTAAATCAGTATTAATAAGAATAAAATCACTGTTCGCAAGACAACCTAGTACTGACGTTTGGAACTTTATGAAGTACAACACTTTGCAGTGATTCATGAATCTGTGTTAGATAAGTTGTAAATATGTATTATATAGTTTCGAGTAAGCATCACAGCTAACGGTAGTTGGAATGTAAGAAAGTTGAATTTATGTTTTCAGCATGTTACTGTAATATAAAAATATGTGAATAGTAATGAAATTTGTTTATGTTATGCTATTGGAACCGAGTTCTGTAGATTTCAAACCTGGATTATAAGGAATAGAGTTGTTTTTATTTTACTAAAAGAGAATTCATATATAGTTTTATAATGTAATCAAAAGAGCAATATGTTTAAATAACTATGCATAATATTATAATGATACTGTATTATCTTGAAAGTATTTAACATTAGAGCTCTTAGTATTAGGGAGACAGCCTTATAAATCTGACTTAGATCTAAATACGTAATACTATTGTTATAGTATATTTGTTACCTCTATGATAGAACGTGTTATATTTTATAATCTAATTGAAATCTATGGAACTCGCTGATTGCAATTAACGAATATGAAATAACAATGCAATGTAGATATAATATTGGAAATGATAGATATCTTGCACATTAAGAGGTTATCGATACATAATCTCCTTCCATGTTTCCTAGATGAATGGTCAATTTTGTTAGTTGAAACTAGAATATATTAGTGTGACTGCAAGCTAAGTCTTCAGTCATGAGATGCCAAGTTTCTGGTTTCAGATATTAACAGTACATAATATTGGTAATTGTTGAAGATAGGTTGGTACCTGCCCATTAAACTTAACGAGTGACGTCACATTTATGAAATTTTGTTTAGATTGTACATACATGTATAGATATAATTTAGAAATTCGATGACTTACGTGTCATCAAAATAATGTGAAAATAATAATGGAATTTTTAGTTCTGCCTTGAGTACGTAGTGCGCTGGGCAGCTATCACACAGGGATTATCTGTTTCTGCATGTCTTCGCCACTACTTATTAGAGAAAATGTTTCTATGAACAAACGAAGCTGTTCCTTTATCTACTACGTCCCATTACTTGTTCTTTATTATGTTACGAGCTAGTTATTGTTACATTTGCACGCACAATAATTATGTTTATCAACTATATTAAATATAACGTTACCTGCCAAGATATTGCAATAGGCATACCATTTCATATATTTTATTGTGTACAGTTTTTGTACTCGTACGTAGAGGTGTCGCTGTATTTACTATTTATTTTAGTTAACGAGATGTGTTCATACCGGCATTCTATGACATGCCTAGATAAGAGAAACTATTTTGTTCTGTAGATATTGTACTACCTAGGTGTATGATAGATTGCGTGGACATATTTTGCTATTAACACAAATATTGCATAAGTCGAGGTGTAGATGAGTAACTGTGCGTTTTGTTGATCTCATTTGTTTACGGACATGTAGCTCAATGTGTAGACGATTGTAACATAAAGTTTATTTGAACATGCGAATGTACCTATATTTTAAGAAATAATAAAATAATAATATTATTGTATATATTTTCGAAAGGAGATTTTTATAAATAAACAATATTACTCAGTTCGAGGTTGTATGAAGTTTTCAGTGTCAACTAGGTCGATTAAACCGCATTGTAAATATTATTTTATTTTAGATGACATGTGATAATGCATTCAAACGTTTATAACATAAATGGTGTACAATAAAATTTTTATGATTGCGTTGACATGGATTTTGTGTATAAAATTGATATTGTAAAAATTAACTTGAATACGTTGTTCAAAGATTGACGGTTCGAACATAAATAAATAACTTTTACACAAAATTTACGTTTCACTTTTCATAACCTTTTCTTGTGAACGATCGTAAATAAACACTATACACTTAAATTACCTCTTTCTATAATTTGCAGCTCTAGCATCTGAATGGCGTCCATTTAGTTGGGTCGCTTGAAATATTGATAATTTAAAAGAATATATTTTCCTTACATTATGTTTGGTATTTATTAAAAAAAACTTCATTACTCCTAGTTTCTTTAATCAGTCGCTACAAATGAAATGTATAGTAACAATGTACGAAAGTCGTGGTGGCCTGGAGGTTCAAGGCGCCCTTGTGCGGGTTAGAAATCCACGACAAGTACCAATGTGACTTTTTCCGAGTTATATGTACTTTCTAAGATTATCTAGATACCACTGATCATGGTGAAGGAAAACACCATGAGGAAACCTGGGCGTATAATTTCTAATTATAAGTTTGTAATCACCAACCCGCATTGAGCAAGCGTGGCGATTAATGCTTAAACCTTCTCTGTGTGAGAAGAGGCTTTGAGCAAACTCAGCAGTGGGCATTTATAGGCTGTTGTTGTACAAAAGTCAAATGTCATTTATAAATATTCAGCATGGGCAGGTAGAAACTATTATTTATTACCTAATTGAGATATATTCTTGAATAAAGTTGAATTGAATGAATTTGTTAATACGAATAGTACGAAACTCGCTATCTTCGAATAAATATTTCCTCTAACGAACCGAAGCGGTAGATTTTCCCAGGAAATCCCGATGTAATGTTCTTAAAAATAATATATTTCCTATTGTTACAATTTATTAATACAACTGTGTGGGGTAAAAAGTGGGGAGAAATTATTATTTGAATGTACCTAATTTAACTCGTCGAGTACCGTCATTATAGACACAATTATAGAACAATAGGTTGCGGTCACTGGTGACCGCTTGGTGTTTGACAGTTTAATTTTGTAATATATAGTACCTATGACTACTTTTAAAGCCTCGTATCCACTAGGCAACATTTGGCGCGACACGTGAATCTCAACATGTACGGCAACGCTGCACAACAGCGCGCGACGTTGCCAGCTTGTTGTTTGTTTTAGTGCATCTTTAGTTGTTCGTATCCTCGTTTCTCTCCACCTCCATCCTACTCTCACACCACCTCCATCGTAAACAAATGTTCCGCGTCAACATTCAACAAGTTGCGAAACATGTTGAGCAAAATATCGCGCGTCAAATGTTGTCTAGTGGATACGAGGCTTTATACTCTTGTGAACTTATTGTTATGAAAATTCAAAAATCATTCGTGAATATTCCCTATCCCCTTTTAATACACTTCTTATATCTCATGATGTCCTAGTACTTTGAAGAAAAAGTATATTTTTGGTTTTTATTATCCTTTTTGTAATAATTTTAATTTTATCGAAGTTCGATTCGTAACAACTATTTGTGGATCCCATTAGAAATTATTCCATGCGGGAATCGAACCCGCGACATTAATTTAGTCTTAATCTTATATAAATCTGTGATTATTAACCCTACCTACCTTACCTACCTTACCTTAAAGGTTCTTAATGGAGTAATAAGAAAACAACAGTTTTGTTTGGTTAAAAAAGTATGCCTTTTTATTCTTTCAAATAGTCTTCATCTAAATTTATAAGAACATTGGACACAATGAAGCTTTTTTACCGATAAATAAGTATAAATAATTTCATATTCACATAAATCTTATCTATACATACATTACATTTATTTTTAATATCAGTCCTCTCAAAAGGTCCATTCTCTCCCTGCAAATTAAACTTTATTATTTACACAGCGATAGGGATTCGCATCTACCGTACATACATACATCAACAATTAACAATTAATAGAGACTATTTACAAAATATATTTCACAAACACTCGCACGATCATTCCTCACCGTTTACACACACCTATTTCACATTCACACCATTTGGCATATGGATGGCGGCACGTCACTAGCAGAGTTCGTCCCAGGCGAGCCACCAGGCCCCGCGGCAGTCCGAGCGCTTCCGCCGCCGGCGCTCGGCGCGATCCGACCGCTTCTTCACGAAGCGAATGTTGTACGGGTCCTCGGCTAGCTCTGGGTATCGTGCCACGTCGTGCACGTACTCTCCTTCGTAGCCAGCTGCTGATCCAGCCTTCTGAATTTCATCTAACTCGGCTGCGGACCAGTCCAGCGAGCCGCCGAGTCCACTGCGCAGCGCCTCGCGCTCGCGGTGCCACGCTTTCCGTACGGCTGCGGCGCGTGCGTGGTGCAGCAGTCGCTGTCGCTCCCGTTCCGCACTGGTGCCGTATCGTAGATTGACTATGCTTGTTTTTCCATGAATTTTAACGTCCGCATATGAACGTCCTCCTTCAGCAACTTCATGGAATGTTACATTAAGTTTTCCTTGCATTCGTTTCAGTTGTTGTTTATCGTCTGCGGCACGCCAAGTGTCTTCTTTGACAAAGTAGAAGACATCTTGTTGATCACCATGCACAACAAATGAGAATGGCAGAAGATGAGATCGATTAAAGACTGAGGTATAAACATCGCGATAGATAGCGTTAGCCGAAGGCACGGTGGTAACGACTGCACGACCACGAGAGTTGCGTGAGACCAAGATACCACGTCCGAATGGTGGCTCGGAGTCAGATCCTATACGTTTAGGAGCCAGGTTCAGGGCGTCAGTCTTGAGTGCTGACATTGCCGGAATAGACAAACTTCTAAAATCAGCTATCCTCTTATTTGACATGTGTGAGAGGAATCCTGATTCTATTGTGACTGTTGGAAGTAATGACATGGCAGAAGGAAGTCCAGGACTGGTATCAGCAGGTGCGGTGCCCCAAACAGGCCGACCGCGAGGAATGCTTGGTAAGACTGATCCACCGGGTAGTTCGTCAGGGTAGAGTTGAGGCGCAAGGCTCTTTGTATCATAGCCAAGTAATTTCAGCCATGACAGGTGATCTAAAACAAATGTAAAAGTTTATCAATAAAAGCTATGTTGAACATTTTAGAATTGTAGCGTCAAAAGGAATTTAATGTACCTGTTGGTTTTTTGTTCTGTGGCCGTACATTGATAGGATCGTTCCCATTAAATCTATAGAGGTGTAACTGGGTTGGGTTATGAATCCTCTCAATGAGATTTTCCCACAGTGGAGACATCCATTGTCCAATCAAGGGGTCGTAAACTTTTCCATTTGCCATATGGACTAGTGATGTGACTTGATCCAGGAGTCCTCCACAGAAATCAACAGGAAGGTATAAGTATGGGTTAGAATCGTATACAATATGGCCGTATGGAGATCTCATGATTTCTCTTATTCCTTCTCCGTATTGATTGAAAATCATCACAGGTGTACCACATTGGTCCGTTGCAATGTAATATTTATGGCGAGCAACCTGTAATCAGGGGAAATTATGAGAAAATGATCTACTAGATACTTTTTCTGTTATGTTTTTAGCTTTTTGTTATGTCGATACGTACCTGTGTGTAGATCAGATGTCCTCTGTCGTCATATACCAGGGTCATGAATCGGTTTTCACGCGGGGAATAAATATGGCTGACTTCATGGGGTCTATCTTTGTTTGTGTAGAAGAATTGCGTTACATTTCCAAAGTTATCTTTTCTTGTTGATAGCCTGAAAAAATAAAAGTTCTTTAGTAACAGAATTAATTACAGACTATATTTTTGTAACAGTCAATGTAAGTTTAGTTTCTGCTTACCTGTCTAGATGATCGTAGAAGTATCGAACATCAAATCTTCCTCGTTTTGTTGCTCTAATCAAAAGTCCTTTAGAATTATATTGGAATCTCTCTTCTCTTGCATTTTGCGATACTAGACCACGGCTATCGTATCTATATTGACCCTCACCGAATTTTACAATGCGATCCATGTCATTGTATTCCATAGGTATAGTATTACCTCTGTAAGTCAGGGACAACATGTTGCCGTTATCATCATATCTAAAGCCCCATGGTTCTTGAGCTTCCACTCCGGTAAGTTGACCGTCACAGTCCCAAGTATAGTTTTTGACATTAGTATAAGTATTAACACCTACATTTCGAGTATGAGTGCGTGTTTGAGATATTCTTCCATGTCTATCATAAGAAAACTCCATTCGGAATACTTCCATTCTGTGGATATTCACAGTAACTTCCTTTTCTAGGAACTGGTCGTTAAGTAGGCGAGAGAACATTGCTATTCCGTCGTACACAGAGGTTTCATTCCATTTCTGTTTCGACACAGTAAATTGTCCGAGTATCTCAGGAGCACCCGTTTTGCTGTTGTAAACAATATGATGCGGGATTAGTGTTTGCCCACCAATTCTACCTTGGACGGAAGTTATTCTATAATTGTTGTCGTATTCATAAATAATTTTAGCATTACTGAGTCCAGTTTTGGCACCGTAGTCAAGCCTTTCTTCAGTTAGTAGTCCACCTACATAGGTGGATTCCCATCGATAGTCTACATCACGGTCCACATGCAATATTTCTGATGGTAGACCACTGGCTTCTGCGTAATGAATCTGTGTTTGACCATCTCCATGAATGACTTCTGATACTTTATTAGTTGTGAAATAACGATAGACAACTCTAGCTCCATCACCTGGGAATACTGTCTGTAAAAGTTCGCCTGTGTGAGCATAGTGTTGCAAATATTTCTTGGACGAACCAGGTGGTGTGTACGTTACTCTCAAAAATCCAATTGACGGTTGCACACTGAATGAATGGTTTGATCCCGAAGGCAAAATGACGTGTGTTAGGCCACCATCGTTATCGTACTTGTATTTGAAGCTTCTTTGGCTGGCTAAGCTTATCTTGGATACAAGGTTACCTTCATTGTAGTAGATGAACTTTGTGCCGTCTTGTGGACTTGTTATCTCCGAAAGCATTCCATGTGGGTCATAGCTATAGCTTTCTTCACTGTCACCCCATTTCCAGCCGTTGATTCTATTGAATCTATCGTATGAAATATTAAGAGGAGCTCCAGCACCATGCGGATTGAAGGAAAGTGGTAAACCAGCGACATCGTAAGAGATGGTAAACAGTGGGTTTCTATCAGCGTTGAAGAAGGTTTCACGGCTCTTAAATTGATCAAATTCAATTATAAGCACTCTGGAGTCATTCACCCATATTTCTCTATTCAAAGTTTGTTGTGGATTCCTTACATCGCCCACAAGAGTGTATAAGGAATACATGTTGTTTACCAATGCATCTCCGAATGTAGTGGTTTGATGTGACCACATGTGAAGCATCTCAGCTTCTATTGGCAAGGCAGCTTCCAGAAGTGGGTGTTTTGCAGCGGCAATACTTTCGAACTTGCCAGCCCATGGTGTTTCAAGGAGTAGTGTGTTGTTTGTGTAAATCTTGCCTTCGGTTATTTGTTTACCATTATTTATAGTAATTTGTTTGAACGATTGACCATGTAATACGTATTCACATTTCTTGGCAACTCCTACGGGGATAGTGCTTGATGGGTTTGATACAGTGACCGCTAATCCATAATTCTTGGCAAGGCCAGACGTTATATGAACTTGCTCACCGGATGGCATTATAATTTTAGTTACTCTTCCTAGTTCGTCGTAATTGTAGATTACTGTATCACCAGCCTGAAAATAAAAATATATTTAGACAACGTTCTCAAAGAGATATAATTAAATTAACAATTCCGACTGTTAACAACTTACCCCTGATCGACTGTTCAGTAATCCACTACTTGCATCGTAATCAAACTCCATTTCGGTGGAACCTTTCTCAGAAATTCTGGTTAGGTAACCAATTCCAGAAATCTTCAACTCAAGTTTATGGTCTTGTGTGTTTTCGATGGAACTAACAATGTTGCTATAATCTCTCAGTAACTGTATTTTATTTCCAGATGCATCAGTTACGGTAGATAGTTTCCCGAAACTTGTATTCTTTGAATACAAGAATGAGTACCTCGTTTTGCCTGATGTCAAGTCTTTTGTAGTGATATGTTGGCCATAGCGGTTGAATACGTATATTTCTGATGTTGGTGGGTAAGGTATTCTAAATTCTCCGTTTTCGTCATGAGTTGGTAAGTAGTGTTTTAGGGCCAAAATGTGAAGAGATCCTGGAAGAACAAAAAGAGTTATTAATATGAATTTTGCGAGAGCGGATTGCAATTGAATTATTTTACATTGACTACAATAAATTTACCTTGGTCGACTACGTTGAGCACTCCATCTGGAGTTACAGCCAGAGCAGAAATCGTTTGGAATTTAGCATTGGACGATAATAAAGTTTCTGTGCTTGTAGGAGGTTCATCACCTGCTGCTACGCTAAGCCTACATGGGCAACCAGCATCATCTCTAGAATTCGTAGGTACAGCTGTTGCAGCTGCCGAGGAATTACATTCACAGCTTAATTCCTTCAGGTTCTCTTGAACCTTTCCAGCGAAATGCATGATCTTTCCAGATGGGTCAATAGATTTGATAGCGTTCGTTTTCTTAGAATCTGCCTCAGCGACATACAGAATACCACTAGGTGCAAAAGCTATAGCCAGTATAGTGCCTAAGCTGGAATCTTCCCTGATGTCTGTGTTTGTTCGATTGGCAGGCTTTGCAACAGGTTTTCCATCGTTTCCTAGGCGGCAATGTGATGGTTGGCCAGCGACCACCTTGATTTTCATATCAACTGTTAATTTCAGAATAATCCTGTCGTCTATGAAGTACAGAGATCCATCAAGAGGAGATAGAGCTACACCAGTAGGCCATTGTAATTGTGCTTCATAAGGTGGAATTGCTCCTCGACATGGGACTGGTGACCAGTGGTTGTGATGGCCATGATGTCCTACAAGAGTGTGTATAATGCCGTTGGGATCAACTGCCCTTATGTTGGTTCCGTCTGCGATGTACATAGTTCTATCTGCTGCAATTGCAAGACCTAGGAAAAAGAGAGATTTGGATGAATTAAAGTAATTTTAAATTATAATATATGAAATCAATTAAAAATCTTCAAATAATATTTTACCTTTAGGATGAGCCAGTTTTGCTTTGATCGCCGGACCTTCATCCCCACAGTTAGAATCATCTCCAGGTACGCAACGGTCTCCGTTACCGACTACAGGTTCAGAATTAGTGGCTGGATCTCTGACCTTTTCTAAAGCGATCACTCTTCGGACTTGATGTCTCTCAGAATCTGATATGTAGAGATATCCATCCGCTGGTGATATGCAGATATAATATTGATATGCAACTTGCGTAGTTCTGGAAGAAAACCATGATTTGATAAATACTCAAAGATTATTATTATGTAAAAGGTTAAGTAAATCCGCATACGCGCTTTTCCAACTTTCAAAAAAAGTAAACCTTCAGGCTCTTCTTGCAGCATACCATGGATTCGTTGCCTCGGTATTACGCTATGGCATTATATTTTGGGGGCAGTCTACAGATAGAGAGCTTGTGTTTAGAATGCAAAAAAGATGTTTAAGGTCAATGTGTGGTCTGAAGACCACAGACAGCTGTATTGCACACTTCAAATCACTAAAAATATTAACATTGCCCTCCATGTATATACTGGAAACAGCTGTATTTGTAAAACAAAATCCTCACTTATTTCCAAAATTGAGCTCAGGCAGGAATGTTCCCTTACGCACCCAATATATTAATAAACTAAGCCAAGTAAAATGTAAAACAGCACTTATGTACAAAAGTTTGTTTGGTAATGCCCCTAGAATTTATAATAAGATTCCCAATGAAATAAAAAATACAACAGTAATTAGATTTAAAAGTATTCTCAATAAATTATTATTAAACAAATGCTATTACTCAATTGAAGAATTCCTTGATGATAATATTTTTTGACAAATTTAATTTATTTCTTGACAATTTCAATTTTTTCTTGACAATTTTAATGTATTTCCTGATAAATTTGATAATTTTAATTGACATAATTTTGACATACCTTATTTTTATTATTTTATTATTATTGTACAAATTTAACTGAAATTGTAATATTTTAATAATGTTCAAATGCATGTACCTAATATATTTGTATGTCTATCACGGCAAAACATAGTGGACTATATTTATATGTAAGACCTTATTATGTAAATTACCTATGTTTAACAAATAAAAATGATTCTGATTCTGATTCTGATTCTGATTATAAAAATCGATACTGTAATGAAATCTGCAGTACTTACTGTAATTGAAGAACAGTAGTGACAACGCCTTCAGGAGTAATACGTCTGACAAGATTGAAGTCACCAACGTACAAGGATCCATCTGGACCTGACGTTAATGCTGTCGGAGTCAAGAGACGAGCATCGGCTGCCTTGCCGTTGCAGTGGTCAGGACATTCAAGAGATCTTTGGAGACCGGTTCCCATTACAACCTAGAATAGACAAAAATGTTATTGGTTCAAATTCATTTTAAGATTACGTCTATTGTTTTGATAATGAAGTTTGTTCATTTTTACCTGTACAGTCCTAGGATATTGCTTTAAGTGAAGTAGTGCGCCATCACCCTTTTGCAGTATACCCTCATGGAAGTTGTAATGATGGTGTATATCTAGACCCCATCCTCCGATATCTGAAATGTCTACGTCGAAGCCGGCCAGAGTAGCTGTTTGTGTCTCCCATACGATTGACGAGCATGATGTGTATTCATATCCGATTGATATTTTAGCTTGTGCTTGGCCGTATACCTGGAATTATTGCAATTTCGAAATTAGTTTTTATGAACGAACTTAGAACTTTCATCAGAAAATATTATAGTGATATAAGTTCTATGATTTTTTTACCTTTTGTTTGTATACGTTTCGTTTGTTCCATGCGAAGATATGAGTCAAGTCGGGATCAGCTTCGTAGGTGTGCGTATGCAAGGAGCCTTCGATTTCAACGCGAACATGTACCCGAATGAGAGATGCTGGTACTACACGACGAGTGAGCTGAACGTGGACGCAAGACAGGTACCCAGCTGATTGGGAAGAACGATACGTGAGCTTCACCAGTGAGCCAGGGATACCAATAGATTCGCTTACAATCTGGAAATAAGAAAGACTCGTGGTTAAAAAAGGATTTTATTGGAATTCCGCGATACTAATTACTGGGAATAATATTCCCAGAGCCCTTATGTAAATCAACCAAAAGACGCTAGTTGAAGTGATGTGGATGTGTCAAACTTAAGAAAAGTTATCTGTCTTAATTAATTTGTATTTACCTGAGCCTCAGGGTAAATGACGGTGGTAGTGGTAGCAGATGAGGCAGCGGGTGCTGCTAGTGGTGGAACTGCTACTACTTCTGGCCTCAATCGTTCATGGTCATGTGCAGCACAAGGTGGAGTTTCTGCCTCCCACCATTGTGGAGTTGGTGACCAGCCGATGCGAGGTGGAGCCCTAGAATTTTTTCTGCATTAGTACATTTGACTTAGAAGTTATGATGCCATCCTTAGATTAGATTAAATTGCAAAAGAGTAGATAGAACAGTACGTTACACTTGAGTCGTGTGGCACCGTAGCATCTAAAGTATTTTTATTATTTCTCATATCTTTATCCAACTCCACGATATTATATCTAACTACTATTGTATACATATCAATACATACACATATATTTATCCCCACATCTGCAACAAGCATATTTTGTTAGTATAGATTTTACTGAGAAGGTCACTCACCTGGGCGTTGGTACTTTAACGTTGTCATCACTAAGTTCCATCTGCACTGGTGGCAGAACCACGATCTGGTTCCAAGGTACGAAGACGGTCTTCCTCAGCGGCTTGAATGGTGATCTCTGGAACTGTAGCGTTACTGCACCTCCTCCATTCACCAGCACGTCAAACCTGAATGATGATGATGTTATTGCAGATGTTCGAAATGGGCGTGTGAGATGATAGAGGTATACTGTACTTTTTACCGACTTTGTACGGCCGTGTACGGCCTAACTTTTTGAACTAAAATGTACAGTATTTAATTACATTTTAGTTTAATATGCTTTATCATTTACAAGGATCGCAACGCTATTCTTAGAATTATCAAAATTAGCATCTAATTTGACCCTTATGTTAGGCCCGCGTTAATTCTGAATTGTAGTCTCCTCGTTTGTCCAATAAATATACACACAAGTAGGTACTAAATAATATAAAATGCCTCGTTAGGCAAACACGATAAAAGTGCAGTTAATCCTCGTAAAATGCTGTAACAAGTACTGTTAGTAGGTACTCGTATTCCATTTCTCCGTTTTAATGATCCCTTATAATATTTTTCTTGTCATTAATTTAAACAACGTCCGCACAATATTTTTCAGTTTTTCTTTGTTTCTTTCCAACGTTTTTTTACCTTTAATGAGAGTTTGTTATCGGAACGTGTTGAGCAGGGGGTTTAGTTTGATAATCAGCACTTCGAGTAAAAGAAAAAAGCGACGTTCCTTCCCGTTAAATTTTTTGCAAGGTTCCGTGACGTTATTTACGATCTTGAGAACAAATAAAAGCGCTGCTGATTTTTTCTGCTTATTTCTAAGAATTTCGAAATCGTGCTTCATTACTGAAAACGTCATTAAAGTAAGTAGTCTCGAAGTGGAGTCGTTAAATTACGGAACTTTGAACATTTGGAACGATCAATTCGTTTATTATTTGGGAACGCTACCGGTAATAGTTTAGGTAAGTTTTAAAACTACACGTAAATAGTTACTGAGTTACGGTAATTGATTTTTAAAAGATAAAACGTGACGTGTTATTTGATAACATGTTTACATGATACAGGTTTCGTTCCGCCGCCTAATTCGATTTTATACTTGATGCCTTTACGTACGTGCGAGGAATATCAAAGACCGTGTCCGAAAATTAATGACGATTCTATACGAATAAACACAAATGTTTGTACAGACATTTGTTCAAATATTTTTGTTTGTCACGCAATATTCAATTACTATCTTTAAAACAATTTAGTTCCATGACTCACCGATCATCGTGACTAAAGGGATTTTTCTATTTTCTATCGTTGTAAACTTTATATTTAAACATAGCTTTGACATGGTGATTGCCCTGAGCGGCCGATGCCAAATTATTTTATTTTTATTCGTTTATTTACGCTGCGATCTACGTTACGGTGATTCACCTTAATTCATGTTTACATGGCATGGTTTTTAATACTAAAGAACAATTACGTTTCTTAAATATTTTTTAATGGGTGGTGTTTTCAAACAACTTGCTATCATTACTAAGATGCCTGAGTCGTGTTGTAAATATAGTCAGTTGATATTTAATTGAAGTAAACACATCAATTAAAATTACTTGTTAGTGTAGCCGTTTTTAAACGTAGCTTGAAAAAAGAAAATAGTCTTAAGTTAATTAAAGAAAATAGGTGTACCTTTAGCGTAATTAATTTTAATATTATCTGCAGTGTAATATTTTAGAATTAAATTAAAATATAAAGTTGACATTTTTACTAAAATTTAGTTTTCGTAATTTTGTTAATTTAGTTGTTCCCAGTGAAAATTTATACGTAAATGTAAAGTTTAATTCTGCTTTGGAGATATATACATTTATAACGATAGTTTACAAAAACACATTAGAAATATACAAAACAATACACTTTACTTACCAATCATAAAACTTATCAGTTATAAAAACGACTCAAAAACCATAACATGTAAATCAATAAACTGAAAAAGAAACTTCGATTACTAACCATCCACCCTGTCTAGTGAGTGTGAATCCGAAGCGAGCCTCCCTGTCGACGGAGACTCTGATGCCGATGATACCAAGGCCTTGTGGTGAGACCACCTGACCCCTCATCACGGAGACACGGCTGCACAGACCAGCTCACGTCAGTTCGAGCCACGGAGCCACAGCACATGGCACTGAGCGATACGGTTCATACCAATTCCAGAGTCAGAGGCTATTGTTACGTTCAAATACTGATAAGTTATTGGAATCGGAATTTTAAATAAGCAAAAAATAAGGATTGATAATGAAGGTGCCTTTTGTGAATTGAAAGACTGCCTACCTGATTGTTTTCTAAATATTTTATTAGTGAAAATAAGGTGACTGAAAACAAATTTGGTTCATAAAAACAATAAACATTTAGGTATAATAGAATTAGATATTGAATAGTTATGTAATAGCCCCTGACCTAAGATACATTAGATACACAATATGTGAACCGTATCGTTCAATGCACACCTTCGGTCATAAAACTTTGAGCGAGGTCTCGTGCTATGCTTCGTAATTCATAGTGTAAACGCTGTGAGAATGAAGTAAAGTATGAAAATAATATCGAAAAATAAAAATAAAATAAGAAGTCTTAGCATTGCACATTCTCGTATTAGGATCAGCTAATTCTCTAGGACACATTTCTGTTTACATTTTGTATATATTTATTTACAGATTCCCTCTACTTGGCCAATTAAAATATATTTAAATAAATTACCATGAAAGTAACGTAAACGGAAATCTACCTAGGAAGGTATGTATGCATGTAACAGCTGCCACACAAACCATAGTCAATCAATTTTGTTATATTACTTCATGTTTGAATGTTCGGTTACATATTCATGAGGAATGAAATTGGTGCAAGAAATGTTCGCGTATCCACAATTGATATCCAAATTGAAAGAAATTTATATTCGTTTTTGTTGTGTGCTTGATTATTTTGAATTATAAAGGGAATGGAAGATGCTTTTAACTGCTTTAAACGCGGGTTTGTACTTAGTTCAGCGTTTAATGTAATGTTTGATTCAGAATACCCGTAGTGAATCTCTGCAGGGCGCAAAAGCTATAAAATACGACGTGAAAACCGATATCGGAGCCAAAAATGTATCCGTTGAAAGTGCACGAGGAGAAATGTCGACATAAACGACCGTTAAACCAAAGATTTAGTTCCCTGTCAGTATTCATTACGACAAACAGAATGGATCATTGATTTTAAACCGCCGCAACTAACAAAGGTGAATGCTGAAAACCCAAAGCGAACAGATGTTGAATATTTAATTAAACTTGTGTAGCAAATTATGAAAACAAATGGATAAAATGTATAACTGTTTATTTACTTGGTGCATATAAATCGACTAGATGGTCTTTCGGGTAAAATACAGTTAATAAAAATACATTTCCGAAATTTATTATCCGGGTGTTTGAGCAACCAGTGTTTTTTTATGGGATAAGCCGGTAAACGACCTGACGGATCACCTGATGGTAAGCAATCGGCGTCGGCAATGGATACCCGGAAAACCAGAGGCGTTACAGGTGCGTTACCGGCTTTTTAGGATTTAGGAATTAGAGCGTTGTCGGGGATCGGGGAGAACGATAGCATCACTCGCACGGCGAAACACAACGCAAGCGTTATTTCACATTACGTCGGTTTACTGTGAGGCCGTGGTAACACTCCGGTCGAGCTAGCTCATTCTTGCCGAAGCATGGCTATCCCACACTTGTATCACTCATCTGAGAGCACAGAGTCATACATCTATGACAGTTGTTACAACCAGTCAAAAGCTAAAAAATTTACAACTCTAACCAAGACTGTGGTATCACCCTTGTATGTTGTGGAGGGCAGATGGCAATCTCTTCACACTTCCGAATTTTCCGTAGAAGTAGAAAGTTTGACTCTTTGTCCTATGTTGCTAAACTGACTTAACCAATGTGTGTGAGATTACTTATTGGTTTTTATCTATCACTTTGATATATTAATAGGCAGATCATATGACGAGTTGAGTTTAAGGAACCTGTAGGTATGTACGTACTTTTTGAACCGGATTAGACTGCTCCTGGTCCTCAATGAAGTACTCCTGATAATGTTGTGTTGTCAAATTATATTTATTTAAAGAATTGTTAACTAGATTAACCTGTTGGTAGTGTTTTTTTTTTTTTTTTTTAAGGGGCGATAATCATCGAATGTCTGCTCCCGCCTGGGTGAGGCGGGAGGGAGTGTCAGATTATTACTGACTAAAAACCACCCCATTCCTTCTCCTGCACGTCGAGCCGGAGCCCCAGTTACCCGTCAGGTTCTCCGCGACTTGTTGGTAGTGTTACGGGCACCAGCGTGATGACTGATGAAGTCTGTGTTAAACTACATAGTTCGGTAGATTCTAGAGTGGTTTTGTTATTAATTTCAAGACTATTAATGGGTAATCGTACCTGGTGATTTCTATTAAAATTATCGTTTACCTCAACTTAATCTTTAGGGAAAACGAGAATTGAAATATCATAATTTTAGGTACTTCGTCAAAATTTAAAGGAATCAATGACTGAACTACTTAATATTACAAACACCTTTTTTGTAGGTGTAGTTGCTCATGTTAATTGAAACGCCTACTTTCATCAGTTATATAACTCCACATATCTAACGTTCAGTTTCAGATTCGAAGCTACTGCTAAGAAAATACAGTAAAACCAAATAATACTTTGTTTTTCGAATCGAATATTTACAGACAGAAACAGATAAAATTAACCAGATCTTACGACAGAATACTTGTCTGATCGATCGGAAATCTTACGTAGTTCCACAGCAAGTTTGGTATTGCTATTAACACATTAATCTTTATTCGAAAAATTCTGTGTTGTGGTTTTTTGATCAAGTACTAAAGAGGTAAGCCATATTTTCCATCAGGTTTTTGAGTTTATTTATATTTTGAGTTTATTTTTCATTACATTATTAGACATTCCAAAGAGAGTTAACTAATGTGGAAAATTTCATAATATAAATGCTGCACAATTTTTTGGTTCGACGGATCGACAACAGAAAATTAAAATTGTGAAAAAATGCGATAACTCATTGACAATCAGTTTTTAAAAATAACTATTTCTTTTTCCTGATTTTTTTCTCAAGTAGATTTGGGCTGGGCACTGAGCCTTAACAATTCCACATCATCATCATCATCATCATCGACAGCCTATAAATGCTCACTGCTGAGTAAAGGTTCTTCTCACACGGAGAAGGTTTGAGTTTCAGTTTAAAATTCCACATTCGAACTAAATTCCGTCACTAACTTCATTCTTAGCATCTGTTACAACCGTTAAACCAGGACTATTCATGTAAAGAAGGCTTTGATTTGGGAAATTAAAAAAAGTTAGGTACAAGTATTTTAATTAGGAAATCTAGGAATTTGACGTCACCAGGCCATAAAGAACTAACGTATGTGACTGGATGTAGGTATAACATTGTTCGATTTTAGAAAGGTTTTTAGATAATCTATGCAAAGATTATCTATTATTTTTAAATACATTAAAAAAAAAAACTAAAGGACACGAAGTATATCAAGAACCTGTTTTACTTTCTACTGTATTACTTTAATATTTTTCTTCAGTATCTACCTATATTTTTTATTCTTGGTTGCTAGAGGAATATCGGTGTAATTACTACACACACCTTTTATTAGTTGTGTCATCATTATCGTTTGGTGGAATGCATCCACTACTGAAAGAAAGACATCCGTCCATTTAATAAAGAGGTTTGCAATAATCCTTACGGCGCATAGGCGACTCGGGAATCGCCGTTAGATCATCGAAAATTTAGACTGATAATGCTGTCTATCTCATCTTAATTAGTCGTAGTTTTTGGAAATACCCAGGTCCTAACGCATTGTGCAATGGATAACAAAAGAATACGTCTATTCAAGCAAGACGGAAAAATAGGTCAAAGTCAAAGCATTTATTTCAATTAATCCACATGTAGTCACTTCTAAAACGTCGACGAAAACGAATTGTTCGTCAGGACACACAGCGTCGAACTCAACCAATTTAGAAGGCCTGGGTTGATATGGCTTCAATCATCTGATGATGAAATGATAGACCTGATTAATATACTATAGTCAGCAGTTAGGCCTATGGCGTATTTGTTACACCAACGATTTCGTATCATTTTAACAACAGCTATCAAAAGGATCTTTAAGGAAAAATATGCTGTGTAACAATTTCATACACGGAAAGTTATTTTTAGGAGAAACAAGTATCAGAACACAATAGGAATTCATTGACAAGGGACATGACAATGACAGACATTGTTATGGAGCTCACAAATACGACTGCTCAGTTACCATCGGGTCGTGTAGTGTTATGAACAGTTTCCATTTTCAAATAGTGTGTGATGGTATAATAAATACTCTATGTATGATATAAGGCTCTATGCATGATACTGACATTTAGCCTATTTTATTTTATTTTAGACTTAGTACTTACTGCAACCTAGGATAAAAGTAAGAAGAAAAAAGGATAGCAAGATCTTCGAGTATTATTATCAGGAATCACATAAAACAATTGCCAAAAAGTGGGTTTTCTCCTAACATATCTTTAGCAATGACCCTTTTCGCCATGTAGAACAGAGCAGCATACATATGTCAATCATCCCGCTCTTTTCGCAGATGTCTTAAGCACATGAATAAGTAAACGATATCGTAATAAGAGTTGAATAAAAAAAACTATATATTTGACAAAGATCGCGTCGCCACGCGCTGTTGTACTTTCTGATAAAGCCGATCTTTTAAAACTACGATCTTTCAACTGCCTGACGTGGGAGATTATGGCAAACCCTCTTAGGTAGTGGACGCTCGCAGATCGGTGGACTGTCAGGGTGGTAAAAATAGGTGACCCTTTCTCTTTGAATTGAACGTGAACTGGATATGGCATGGGATTTATCATCCGCGTTAATAAGTGTATGATTTAAAACTATATTTCTTAAAACGCAGTTAAAAAGGTTCAGGCTGGCCGGTATTTTGGCTGGCCAGTTGTGGATATAGACGTTGAAAAAAAAAGACGAACAAATGTCATTTAGAAATGAGTGATGCACCAATATGTCAGTTTGTGTGCATGTGTAATGGGTAACCACGTTACCAGATTTAAGAAAATGACAGATGTCCTTCGTGTCAATGTGTTTATGTTCTGCCTGTAAGTCTATAGTAACCAGCAGCACTTGTCTACTTGTAGAATAGAAAAACCGAATTATGTGGAATTGACGTAAATTTTGACACTTGCCAGTGTCATCCCCATACATTTAGTTTTGTACTCTCTCTGTAGACAAGCGGCTAAAGTGGCGTTTGGCTAAAGGCACTGGTGTAACAGTCGTTGTTTCAAGAGACTGTGCCCGCCTTTTTTGTCAACGTTCTTGGTTGTGGATGCTATTTAACATCTACTATTATAAGGAGGTAAAACACACCACTATCTGCACTTTCTGGGAACAATAGGTATGATGTTTAACGCTTTGAATTACAATCTCTGTTCGCTCTGGGTTTTTTCTCCTTACAATGTAAAGTTCATTTAATTTTTAACCTTGTTCGACCTAATTCAAAAGTAGTTATTGCATATTCAATACACGCAAACATAGTTCACATTAACACAATAACTATAACCTTTGAAAAAATATTTTTATTTGATAAGAAAATGATCCATTATAAAGATTGAGTGTCTAGACGTCAAAACGTAATTTTATTTAAATAAATCTGCATTCGTATAAAATGTTGGAGATAAAACCGTCAACAATAATAAAATGTATTCTTTGTGATCACGATTACTTTTTATGATTAATGTTAGCGTCGTGGCTACTACGTCGATAAGCAAAGCCCTCAGCAAAACTTTACATAATATATTATAACTTTTTACCATTTATAACTGAAACATTTTAAATACTAGACAATAGAAATGTATAATAAACCAAAAATAAAAACAAATAGTGTAAGTGTAATAACTAAACTGTCTAACTACTAAAATATTTTTCTTAGCAACGCCACTGCTAAAGAAATCAATTAGTATGACATTCTCATCTTCTTCCGTGAAGGCTGACAATACATTCTACATTACGCTTACGAAAATTAAATCTAAAAAATACACTTTAAGTTCGTAGGCACCTCCCAAAATATCATCTGTAACAAGTTACGAGGCACTTATAAATCATTACACACGTACAAACTAGCTAAGTACAGATGTATCTGAAAAGAGGATAAGACATTAATAATATTATTGCTGTTTTATGACGGTCAACATTATTCAAATATTTTTATCAAAACACATTAACAGTAAGAAGAATGAAATACAACAAAACTCATAATATCATCACATACAACGCTTTAAGAACTGTGCTCCCATTCAGACATCAAAATGCAGAAGGTTCAATAGTAAATGCTTGTGCAGAGGCAGACAGTTCTGAAAGCGATGGAATAAATCGAGAAAAATACGTTCGTTGCACCAATTTCAAAGTGTAATAAAATGTCGTCAATGACTGATTAATGGAAGCGATGGTTGTAATGTACAATGTCGACAATTTTGCTATAATAGTATCGCTGTGAAGTAGTAGGAGTACATTCAAATAAGTTGTGTTTTGGTTAGTTACAAAGGGTGAGGATCTAAACACATAAAGAGCTCGGGCGAAGGGTAGGGGGTTGGTTAACAGATGAAAGACGCAGACAAAGGGTAAGGAACACATAAAAGGGTAAGTTTATTTGAAGCTTAATTTGCGTGTTCGCTGAAATTTTGCTCAATTGATAATATACAATTCGCGTCGATTTGTATATTTTGCAAGCCCTATGCCTATCGATTGTGTTAAAAACGTTTTGCGTGAAAGCGTAAATGATTTTCCTAAGTTTCATATAGTATAACAAAATTATTCCATAGTATATATGTGAACTATAATATAAGCACAGTAGACGAGACAAATAAACAGTACAAAATACAATTGTGACTGCGGCAAATCATATTTGAAAAGAGACGCGACGTTTGCGGACCGACGACGGCGTCGGGCGTCGCCGGTGCTTGATTTACGCTGAGATTGCGAGGATTTTGTCGCAGTCACACGAAAACATTCAAGACAAACATACAGATGTTACATACACATAGAGAATGAAACGAATACAGACAAAGGATTGAACGAAAAGTGAAAAAGCATCAGTGGCACCGTCCGCGTGTCTGTTGTGGGACACGCGAAGGTCACCGGCATCACACTCATATGCAGGATTCGCAACAAAAGGGAAGAGGTGAACAGATACTGAACACTGAGGGGCGAGGGCGGGCTGACTGACACTTACCATGGTGTAAAGGAATTCCAGAACTCGCTAGGAGTGGCGGACACACGGCGGCACAGGGACACAGAAAGACAGGACAGATTACTACACAGATACCTACATCCCTCAGTGCAACCCCACCCCGGTTTTGCAACCGCTCCGGCCGATTGCACTCGTCTATATTGGTTACCTTGCGTTTTAACACTGTATTTACCAATTAAATTTCTGTTAGTTACGAATCGATTCACAGACGAAGCCCGTTTGCATTAGAACAACCACCACTGTTGACCGACAACTAATTATGTATTAGGTAGTCTGGATAAATTTAGAAAAAAAATATTGTTGTAGGTTGCACCAAAGATTGAATATGGAAAGTACATGCTGGATGGTGAATGCACGGAGGAACTCCGTCATGTGTCACGTTTAAAAGGGCTGATGAAACAAATGCCAGAACGCAATATAACCACTCTAGACTCTTGAACTTAAATAAAATAGTGAAGCGGCTCGTGTTTTAATGCAAACAAACTTTTAGAGGCGCTTTTGCATATTAAGCGAGGTGGGTTGACTACTTTTATTATTCAGTTTTGCTTTGTCTTATTTATTTAAGAGATCGTTCGAAGTTTTATCAACGCACACGATAAATATAGGGCAAATAAAAACTTTAAGAATTTGTTTTCGAACTTAGATCATGAAAGACGCGTTTAAGTTTGTTCTGGTTACATTAAGTAGCTTAAAGTATTAGTCGAAGAAAAATTACATCAATTACAAGTTGCAAGCATGTTTTATATAGTCACGGACTAAGTAGTGATTTGGAAACGCTTTCATGATTCAAGTTCAGCTTCTTTAACCTTATTTTACTTATATAAAGTTATTTTGTTTTTGAGAAGACAAACAAAACTGTTCGAAAGCTTTTGAGCGCTTGATTTTATTTCTATTTTCATTTTGTTATTCATAATACGCTTTTGTTTTGTTTAGACAAACAGGTAGGGTTAGACACACACAAGGGATGAACATTAGACAATACACAACACATCGGATCTGGTGTGAAAAAATAAAATGTAACAAAATACAAAAAACAAAACTCATAATGAAAACAATTAATTCAAATGTAAAACATAACCATGCTAGGATCGCAAATAATAAATCATAATGTTTTACTCGCGAGAAAACAGAGGAAAATCAAAACACTTCCACCAGATGAGAAAATAAATTGTAAGTTATAAAAGTATTTGAAGTTATCAATTAAATTAAAATAACCACACCAAATCCTCGGAGAGGTTTAGGAAGATGAGCGGGAATTATATGGTGAAGGTGCTAGTTCCTAAATAATTTATGTCGTCATGAATTTTGTATCTTCTTCTTACGGATATACATTACAGTACGGCGATGATATCACGGATCTAAAATCATTGTAAAGTGCAAATATAATTATTCATGAATTGTGCAAAACCGACAGGTCAGTCCTAAACCAACTGGGTGCAAAAGATATCGTTGTATTGTTATTTAGTTCTGATCCTATTATGGTTATCATTTGGTTAGTTATAGTTACTAACGACATCTTTTACGTACATGAAGTGATTTGGTGTTTGTTAACATCTTTGAGGCATCGTCTTATGCTACACATACCTTTCGGAGTATTCGTCCATGTGTGCGTAGCTCTGGACAGAGTTTTCTTCGATGAGGAATTTGACGCGCTGATAGAAGGATGCGGTGACAGAAGGCGGTTGCTTCCTGAGGAGTACTTCCACAGGATCGTTGGAAGCTAAGCACATGATGTGCTCGGCGCACTCTGGTCGACTGCAGCATTCCGAGTCCGAGCAGTCCGTCATGCCATCTTCAAAAGTGTACCCATTGTCAAGTGACAGACAATATGTTTTTTTGGATCGTTTTAAATTTAATTGGTCTTACGTTTTGTGCCTATTTTATCTGTAAGAGAGAGGCACCTACCTTCATCGTTATCTTCGTTGTCGTTGCAAGAGAGTTCAAGTGCAATGGAGCAATCAGTGCCAGCCCAGCCGTCAGCGCAGGAACACCGGTACACTCCATCTTCCAGAAGACATTGGCCATGACGAGTACAGCCATTCGGACAACCAGCTGTGTACATTGAACAATTAGATGTGGAAATACCGACTTTCCGTTTGGATGTGATAAGGGTTTAGTAATGACTTTATAAATATAAAACTATTATTGGGCTTCGCACAATGCGTAGATCCAGCCCTCTATCCTTTAAAATCAGTTAAAATTAAAAATGAATATTCTATTATTCGAAATCCGCTGCATGAAACAGACATTAAAAATAACATAAAAACTTACGCAAAGTACAGTGTCGGCCATTCCACCCTTGCGTACAGACGCACGTGCCGTTTTTGCATTGCCCGTGGTCGTGACAGCGCGTGTCACAAGGTCGTTGGTCACACATGGAGCCTGTCCAGCCGTCATCGCAGCGACAAACGCCCTCGGCACAAACACCATGCGGTCCACAATCCAATGAACACACAACTGCGATGTACAAATGCGGTTAAAATACCCATATATATACATTTAACAATTTAAACCTGTTTGGATGTTTAGTGTCTTTACCTTGCGAGCAATCATCTCCGGTGTAGAGCGGGTCACATACACATCGTCCTGCGTCTAAGTCGTATACGCCACGTTGAGAGCATGCAGGAAGACAACGTTGTACCCTAGCATCGCGTTCACTGCAAGAGGCACCTCGCCATCCTGCACGACACACGCATCTACCACGCACGCATGAGCCATGGCCACCGCAAGTTGGATCAAGGCAGTCCTCTGTTCGTAATAAAACAAAAACATGTTAACTCATAAATGATTATTAATTAAAACTATTACACTAATCAAAATTGAATATGGTAGGCAATTGTGTATTTTGTATACCTTCGTCGCACTTTTGCCCTTTCCATCCAGCCTTACAATGGCAATGGCCGGCGATACATTGACCTCTCCCGGAACAGTCGGCCGGCTCACAGTCGTGTGCTGGAACGTCACATTCCGGACCTTTCCACCCTTCCAGACAGTGACATACACCACCTGCATACGCACCGTGCCCCGAACAAAGAACTGGACACACACCTGCGAAAACAATTGTGAGTTATTACTTGCGAATGTCTTTACAAATACATAATTCGTTCCATAACTATTTTCTACTTACTTTTCGAACAGTCGTGTCCTTCATAGCCGTCCATACATTCGCATTTTCCGAGGTAGCATGATCCGTGACCTGAGCAATCATCTGGACAAGAGTTAGTGACGCCTTCCGCCTCAGAAACGATCATTTCAACGTTGTGTGGCTGCAGTTCGTCATTGTATACTGATATAAACCATCTTCCTGTGTCAAGGTATTGTAATATGCTGACGTTTACTCTCATGTCCGTTGAACGTTTGCTTAGTGTGTGGTTCCATTTATGCAATGGGTTTATCGTGCTTATCAATGCGTCCCAGTCATTTAGACTACTTTGAAATGGATTATCTCTGAATGGGCTTCTTCTGCGGCGTAGTCTGTGGTCAACCCTGCCGCCTCTAATAAATTCAACAAAGTCGTATTGTGTTACGCTAGGAGCTACGTTGCGTCTGCCATATACGGCAAAATTAGCTCCCCAGGGAACCGTGAAGTTAAGGCTAACGTAGGCGGGTTGCTTGTTGCGAAATTCAGAACTCCAAAATTGATAAGCAGGTATAGTAGCGCTGTGTAACTCATCGAATTCTCTAACTTCTAACGCGGGTGACCAAGGAGGCGGCGCTGCTTGTTGCGCTTGTTGAGGTATTACTGCTGACTCTAGTGCCGCTTCTGCTGTTGTTGACCACCCGCCTAATGATGAAGTTGATATTGATTCTGCAATGAAACGTGCAAAATCTTTTAGATCGCAAAACTATTAGGAGTTACGGAAAGACGTAATTTATAAAATTACATTGTGTATTACATACCGTCTGACGGTGATGACGTTGATAAAGCATCTCTAATTCCTTGTGCATGTGTTACGGCTTTCACATCTTGTACCAGAATACAATTTGAATTGTCTATATTACTTTTAATTGACGATAACGCTGAAACAAACAAGAAGGAAAATTTTAATAAAGTATAAAAATTTAATTGTATTTTTTACTAATTTATAGTCGATCGCCGATCCAAATCTATCTCGAACAGGGTCATCCAATTAAGTTTCCGTTAAGTTTGTATCTTATCGATGGCTTACATCGATAATGCCCAGTAGCCGAGCTGTAATTCTATTACAGTTCACACGGGCGTCGCGTCGCATTGGTTGGGCGCAACGTGTTACGAAATGCGACACAATAAGAGATGTCACTTTAAAGTTTAAGAGTTACATGAATGCAGGGTAGAAGACGTGATGTCCCGTCGGGTTTTAATTAAGCGAAGCACGACTATGCTGCATTTCGTGGCGGTGTGACGGAGCGATTGGTTCCGCTGCCGCGGGCCCGGCCTCCAGCAAGCACGTAGGTGGCTCGACGACACCCAACTATTTCTTGTTCGGGAGAATGCTGTTGTCTCCTCATTATGCGACAGTTGCTGGCTATCGAATCGATCATAAAATGCCGCGCTACGCAATCTAATTGGATAATTCTTCATGGTGTTAAGTGGCAAGAAATCACGAGCTTAGAAGACACGGGTCTTATCGAAATTACTATTTATTTTGAGGCCACTGAAGCATTAAATAGTAGTAGAAGTGAATCAATTTAATTTATTATTCTTAGAGGTCCATCTTTTGTCAAGTCGCTAAAATATGTACAGGAGGCTCCTTTCCTCTTAATGCTTCGATGGAATATTCAATAGAAACTGCAAGGGAGCCATTGAATGTCAGTAATGTAAAGAGAATTTATTGCGTTCATTTATTAGTTCAGTAAGAAGCTCACGATCGCTCAGGATTTGTGCTCGGATGGGGATGCAACGTTTATTTGTTTCGGAGCGTGCGCAGGATGTGCGCCTAATATGTCGTGCGTTACGTCAAGGGTAATAAATCAATCCCTATAGACTTAATTGACGCAACCCAGATTTTGTTCCGGCTAATTAACATGTTCAGTAATTTGTTAAGAGACATGTGGTTAAGTTTTGTAGATTCAATTTACCAATTATATTTAATGTGTGAATATTTTGTGTGACGTGTTTTGTCAAGTGTCTGCAGTGATGTATTATTGATCGAGATAACCCCGGCGGTGTCGGAGCAATTAAGTTATCTAGCCTGCCGAACAGTTGCCTATCTATCCCCAAGATTTACTCTGAGATAAGATCGCGAAACGTTGTCGCCATTTGGCCGTTTGCGCTGAGGATTGGACAATTTAACTTTACTATACCGTACCGAGGGTAGATAGTTCAATGACAATAACCTTTATCGGCTTAACAACCCATAGTTAAGCAGGCAATTTAAATTCAGTGTTAATGCTACATGCGTATGTCGAGATGGATTTAAAATCATACTTCTAAAATGGGATATACTGAGTTCAAATGCTTGGAGCAGTGAAACATGTCTAGAGCGTTGCCCCGCATCAAATATTGATGGAATGGAAATAAATATACATGTCTTACTGACACTCATAAATATGAATAATAAAAACTTGATCGACCATTGATGTGCGACAGGCTTTTGTTTAAATAAAACATTATTGAGTGTACACTTACTTACGTAAAGATCGACACATACTTACATTTTTATTTATCAGAAAATCTACAGATATTTTGATACAGCTCAACCCACATTATATTCAGTTAGATGGAGCCCCACACAGAAAATAATAACATACCGTGCACGATGTTTTTAGATAAACCATCAAAGATGACGTAATTTCCTCGCAAGAAAATAAAATATGACAATGTGGTAAGTCGTGAGTTTTGCCGATGATCCCTCGTAAAATCTATAAATTTTGTGTATCGAGCGCGCGGGTAGGAAATGGAGGGTGCTTGAGTAGACGAGGTCGCCGGCCGATGCATGCGACGATTGTGTGCAGATGGACTATGTTTGCTATCTCCACTATTTTTCGAGTTAATACAATTTATTGTAATACGATTCAGCATAGATTGCATCGTGCGTTGGGGGAGCGAAACTCGTTTGATAGTGTCCCCGGGGACGGACGCGCCGTCGCACATTCTCGTATTAGTCACGTGATAAATCTTCCCGTGTTCATGTCTGCTGTCTCCTTTCATTACATGCAGGATCTAATATACTTGTCCTTGTTCCTTGCGCATGTTAACTGTGTTCGCACGAGGCCGCGGTTTGTTTGCCCCATTTTCTCAGCGAGAACAAACAAATCCGAATTTTGATTACATCATCATAAAATGTTGTCATTAAATAAAGTTATGCTTCATGAAACGTGGTGGTTATATAGGAGTATATGTTAGATTTATTTATAAAATTGTACCTTAGAAATGTTACGACTCCTGCTGAGTGCAGCTCTTACAAATGCCGTGTCCTGTATAATCAACATAAATCAGCAGGTCTAATCGATACGCAAGGTCAATAAAAAGGGTACAAAAAGATGCGCAGTACCGGTTACAACAGGATGTTGAATGTGGCTGAGTTATGTTTAGTTGTATTTAATGTTGATGAGTTTCACCCAATAGCACATAAAATATTGTTATTGAAAACGCTTTTCAACGGTCGTTTTGCAAAATAAATAAGCTGTTGACGGAACAAATGTTCACGTCCTATTTTTTTAATTGCATATGTTGGTTACAAAATAGTGGTTTGTTATTTCTACTCCAGTATTATTGCAACAACAAAAGCATTTGCGATCACGTTGAACGTTAATGCTCGCTGTGAGAGCTTTAATAAAACATTTGGGGTCCTCACATTTTCAATTACATTAAAAAGTTGACGGTGCTGTATTTGCCCCATTCATACACCATACACGTAATGAAGGGTGCAACAGATGGTTCACATTTTTTCATTACATCACTAAAACTACCGGCGCAAACCCGGAGATTTATGTCGGATTAAACTACAGACCCAGTTTTATTTGATACAAATCCGAAACGCCAGGAGGCGTGTCCGAATAACATTTTATTGTTATTTGAATCGTGATCATTATTTTAATGAAAGTTTGGAAAAAAACTGGAAGTTGAAACTAAAATGTGTAGTTAAATAGGTAGCGTTTAACAGATTCATTGGTTTCGATATTATCTCTTGGAAATCTAAATGTGGTAATTTCGAGGCGTGTGTGTCGTCGTGTTAGAAAAAGCTTATATCGGTTTGAAGTGGACAGGTTGCCGCAGCCATCGATAGACGATATGCTACATGCTGCCTTATCTCGCCTGTATAATTTAACGGGCCTCTAAATGAAGTGAGATCCGATACGATAAGCCTCATTGACTTGAGACGCCTAACATCTACTCGGTTCATTACATTACTTTTAGGAAGAATCGTCGGACTTTATTTTATCGAGTCTTTATTATATCTGTGAGTTACAATAACATCGTGGATAAGTGTGGACATTAGTGTCATCTCAAGCAGTTGTTATTGTCCCATTACAATAACATAAATACTCAAAAAGAATGAAATTGCTGTTTTGTGTGTGAAAAAGTATTGTAAATTGCGTACTCTCTCAACTTAACACTTTAATAGGTGTTTTCTAACGGGAAACTAACGTTGTGTTGGCGAAAGTGGACCTTTGCCTATCTTTTGACGTACAAACAGGTGCAATACTATATTTAATATATGCTTTCTGTCTTATTAAAGTAATATGAAACCCTTCAGTGTTCACATGAGTTCGTTATGTAGTCTGTAAACAAGTTTTTGTTTCAGATGAAGTAGAACGCGTTGCCGAAACTACAGTGAAGTAGTTAGTGGTTCACGTAGCGTGCTTCAACCGTATTATTTAGTGTTTGCTCAAACTGTTTAATAGAACGCTGGCTTAACTTAAATTGAAACTATAGTTTAGACATTCGAGGAGCGTTTATAACGACTGTTTTCAACGTTGATGTACTTAAAAATTAATACAATTAATCTACTGAGCCTTATCAATTTACGTTACACGAGAATTATTTTTAACCTAAACTAGAGGCATTCGATAATAATTAGATTTTACAAAGAGTTCTAAGTGTTTGTAATTTTCGGAATAATATAAAGAGACAAAATGAAAAAAAATAAGATACTTTTTTATTGTACTTTAGCCTGAGATATTAGGCCACTAGAAGCTAAACAAATATGAACACTTGAGTTAAAGCAATTTAATTTGGAATAAATCATCGTTTAAGTCTCTAATTGAGTCGGCATTAGGTATAATTTGCCACCGCGGCCACCCTCCATTCTGAAAAGCTTCGCTTGAAGGGAAATAAACAAAAGTAATTTCCTGACATTACAGCGAGTGAGCACTTTCTGTGTAAATGGCAATGCGGCTGTGCACCCAACGACATATTGTTTCTACGAATGTTCCGCTGTTATACCGGATTCGCGTGACGTCGCTCAACTAGGTGCAAATCTATAAAAATAGAAGCCACGTCTACCACTTGAAACATTCTAACTTTGTCCGTGTTTATCTCTTCAAACTTTAGTACTTAAAACGCTGTAAAAGAGTTAAGAGTTCATTTATGTTTTATGTAAACAAACAATCTGTTTTTCTCCGTGTTGTATAATTGTAAAGTTGAACGTTATTGACTATATGGTTTACTGTTTTTACTCGAAGCGCCTCAAGAATTCCGAGAACCCGAGTGGCCACATTTATACGACTCTTTAGCCGCACTTATTTCTTTTTCTCATTCCACCAAATAGCTCCACGACATTGACAGTAAAAACACATTTTTTCCTCACCCTCGTTAGGGTCGAATTTCGGAAATAACTTCTTTGAGAGTGCTTACGTCATTAATGGAAAACTCTACACTTCTGTCCGACTAGTGTTTCCGGGTAACTCGATAAATTAACTCAAGAGCTTTAATGTTTTATGAGTGTAAAATTGTACCGGGATGATTATTTCAGTAATAACGAGTTACGAAGAATACATAGTCATTATCGTTCGAGTTGTTATAGTAATTGCGAGGGCTTGGCTTCGGCAGGGTAAATGTGTGTTCGGATATAGGCCAAAAGTATTGCGTCGATCGCGGCCGCGACCCGTGACGGTTTCGTGTTATTTTATGGAGCCTCGTGTGCTTGCGGTTCGGCAGAAGTGCCGGTGATCACTTAGAGATGACAATCACTTTTCTTGATTATTTTGGCAGATTCCTTACTCAAACTAATCTGTACCTGTTGTTAGTGTTACTTGAGTTATAAGGACATATTTATTATCTGATTCTTTACTAATGTTAATGTCAATAAATATAATTTAATTTACATTGTAAAACGAACACTACTGTACTCGCATAAAGTTGCAACTGGCAAAGTCCTTTTATAGTATCGTGTCTTTCAGTCGTTAGCACGAAATACTTTCGCTACATGTACAAGTACAACTGTAGGTAAGTACAGCACATTCAGTACAGCAATAAGCATTACATGCAGTTGAGAGAATGTGCCATTCCATTAGATATAAAACGTAATGTATTGTTTTATTATACTGCGAGGAAGGTATTAGTTGTTCGTCGTTAAATCAAACAGGGATTTATTTTTGCGATTTATGTAACATTTTGCATGTATAAATTATGATTGGTCGTTTGGTGGGTACCCGGTACGCAGGGATTGCGAGTGGCTGATGTATTCGTAGAGAAATAACATGGGACGTGGAAGTGTAAGATAATTTATAACGGCTCTAACATGGGCGCGCGGGCTCGAGGCACGCAGCGCGCGTTGCCTTGCGTTAGGCGCATCATTTATATTTTTCTGATGTTTGTTTTATTTTTTTACGAACCTCTCTGTGATGCCGGCTAAACAAAGAATGATAAAAGACTAATGGTCAACGTCTGTTTTCGTTGAAACATCAATGTTTAATCAACTCATTCGCATGGACCGAGAGAATATTTGAATTTATCACCTTTCAATCGAGTTTTGGTGTGATGATGGAAATATTTTTCTATTATGATTTGGTCGTATAACGATAAAATGAATAAAAGTATTTTTATGGATGTTTTCCGTTAGCATGACTTCGGACAACACGAAGAAAAACTTTGATTGAAATGTGCTTCAACAAGTTTTACGACGCATGATTACCGACTCACTGGTTATAAAATAAATGTGTGTTGAAAAATCAATTATTATGCAAAGCTAAAAACTTTAAATAATCAAATGGTGCGTGTTCCATTAAATTATAAACATTTCCTTTGTTCGTTGGAAATGTTTATGTCCACAAATAGGTTGCAATTTATAAAAGCGAGAGTAATTTTTGCTACTGTTTCAGTGTTGAGTTAAGTCCGAGGGACTATATAATCTTGTGTAACGCTCGAGGGCTATGCCTTTGTCGGTTTCCAATCATACAGAGGAGAACTAGCCCCTTAATTGGATGGAATCCCGCTTCAGGCACGATTCGGCATTAAGGGGATAAAAGCATACGAGTGCAATTTTACATTGCTTTGTAATCTGGTAAAACAATCAGATTGCAAGCTGCAGGGATTAGGCTCAGACGTGTAATAACATTAATAGCTTAAGTCTGAATTTATATTTGTAACAGCAATTTGAATGTACAGCAATATTTTTGATAGGACAACAAAAGCATCGAAACCGCAAACATTTTGCGGTATTGTTTAACCACAGTCGGTGGGTCCATACCTAAATTAAATTACCTTTGTAACAAACGTGGGAGTCAGTTTTACTAAAAGGCTAACCGATATCTATGGGTTAAAAAACAATTTGTTTCATTTTCGTAATGTAAAATGGCTTGAACCCTACATGACGTCATTACGGTTACAATAAACTTTTGTCTCGTTTGTCCCAACGAAGCTCGTACACTAACGTTAATGGATTGTGAAAGAATAATGTTATGAATATTCTAATCGGCATTCCGAGCGAGTTAATATAAATACTGCCTTAACGAGAGTCCCGCATATCCCGCTGTGATTTTATAAACAAAGATGTATCGTCAGTGTAACTCCACGCTGGATATTTCAATATAAAATGAACGGCCTACATGCAGTTAGTTTAACTGTGCAGTTAAAACTGTCATTCGAAATCGGTGTTCGTTAGCTGTAGACTCTGATAAATTATTAAGAAATGTAGATTAAGCTCATGGTTTTACTATAATTGTATGTATAATGTATTAAAGATACTTCAGACTTAACAATAAACTTCAAAGAAGGAATAACTGTAAGTCCTCTCGCTCATAAGTATCAGGCCGCAACTTTTCAATCAAACTTAAGTCCAGTAGTTATAAGTTTACCAAGTTGGGAATTGCAACAAGCTTCTTACTTAATGGACGTAGAATGCATGAATAGCATAATTTAGTTCATGATATCACAGACTTTCAAGATTATAATAAAGATAGAATGGTATTCGATTAATTTGATTAAATTAAAAATAGATGTATTTGAGATGTTATTTCGAGATTATATTTAAAGTATGGTCTAACTTATCTTGTGTTTAACAACTGAGAAATGTAGACGTGGGAAAAAACAGACGTGATCTATGAACGATCGCAAATTGGAACTCCGTGAGATTGTTACTTCGATTTTGTAGCCTTAGAATTCCTTATTGGAATATTGTTGTCTGACCAAATTATATCAACCGACTCTTATTATAAACATAATGTGGCTTTGGTCTATATTATTCTGATGTTATAAAGATTTGAAGTAATAATAAACAGCTGACCAGATTCACACATTGTCAGGTCTACTTATGTGTCGGTTTCTATGGCTAATAACAACGACTCATCTTAATAGTGACTAAGTGACAGAGTCAAGTGGGTCGCGGGAATCTCGTAGGTCTACTAATAAGAGCGTATTGTTTTGTTTGTGAGAAAGGTACCTAGTTGGATGAAATTGTATGTATCAATAGCACTTACCTATAAAGTAGGCGAGCATCGCCGCTAAGATGACACAGAGGCATATCATGGCGATGGCGAGGCACTTCCACGTGCACCGGTGTTGGCACCGTTTATCTATGTGGAACCGTGATGGCGAGTACACGGGGACGGGGCTAGGCTGGCTGGCACGCAATGGGAACACCGGCATCACCAGCGGTTGGTTCGCGAGCTGGCAGTGCCCGCTGCCCAGTGTGCCGCCGCCCATTCCACTCGACATCGGCGCGCCGCCCAATCTGTGGCACAAAATACTACATTTAAAGCTAAAGTCGACTGTCGAAGACCTCGCAAATAGGGTTGACACAAAAAATCATTACTTGTTGTACGACGGAAATCAATCCCCTCGTTCTTCCTTATTGATAGATCTGATCTAATTTACTAAAGTCATTCAGTTGTTTTTTCCGTGAAAAATGGAAAGCTTTTTAGTCCGAACTGAGATAGAGTAACCTTTTAAACATCAACAAGTTCTTCAAGTTTCCTCCGATATTGTTTGTTTATACAAAACTTGGCGACCTCTGGGATCCGTAAACAAGGGCGACATTTATTAATTGGATATTTGAATTAGGTCAATTTTTAACTTCGTCTCAGCAAACTTTGAGGAGAACAGATGAAAAAACACAAATAATAAATGTCATAACTTTTACAAGTAGGTGACCCAGATGTCAAGTGTGAATTGAAAACGTTGGAATTAAATTCCATCACAAGGTATGTAGACATATAAAATGCGTAAAAAATCAAGTTTCCGTTGATAGCAGGTAGATGAGAACTCGTATCGATGTCGTAACATGTTATGGCCAACTGTTGGCGGAGCGAATCTGTGGCCCGCGCCATATGGCGCTTCTTTTATTAAACTCCCTCGAAGACAATCACAACGTATCATTACCGGGGATTCCGGCAAAAAACGATGACTGTAGCGTTTAAACACGTCCGCCCCGAGAGCCATTAATCAATTATCTGAACTTCAGTGTCACGACTAAATTTAAAGGCTGCGCTGAGAACATATGGTGCGGAGTCCGAGCCGCTCACCAACTGACGCCGATATAATGACCTCTCGCATAAAGGAATAAGCAAAAAGAGAATAGAAATAATTGGAGCAAGTTTAGCGAGAACGAAGCGTGACTTCTAAAGGGTTTGTTTCGAAGAGGCTCTCGACTGTAATTTTCTTTTGAATAGCGGCCGAGGAGCCCGACGAACGTTCGGAAGGACGAATTCATTAAAACGTGTACAGAAATCACAATGCTCCGGCACGCAGACTTTGGCCTTAAATGGCTTTTAAAATGTCCGCCGCCTTTATACATTATGTGGACTTTGTATATAATACTGGAGGTTAATTTTTGTGCTTCACAGTCAAATATTCACGACTTCTTATTTTCGTCCTTAAGGGAAATGTGCGTTTGTGCGTATAAAATTGAATTGCTACTAATAAATGTTGGAACATTTCTTCTGTGACTGGCTTGTTGTAGAAATTCCACACCTGCTAGCATTCAGTAACTAGTAGTATGGTACAGCTATATTATAATAGTTTTTGGTTCCAATAACATATAATTATCTTAAATTACCAGTTCAGCCTAGACGAGCTTTATAATAGTTTATTCGTTTCTCACAGTTTATTCTTCTAATTTCTGCGAGAAGATCCGGTTAGTGTAGTCTATTAAAATTAATTAAATAAAATGATGCTGAGAAATGTAATTAATGAGTGTGTAATTAATTTTTGGGTAACTCGATTTGATGGTGATTTGAATCTTTCTTTGAAAGCTTGTTTGAACGGGGCGACGAGAATACCTAATATTTTTTGTAGAAGAATGTTATGATGATGTACGACTGTTATTCATTCGCAAAAAAGTGAAAAAGCCTATAATAAATAACGTCTAAAATAACATATACAAGCGATCCGACTCGCGATTGTGAATGCTGCCGACATCCATAGATAACTGTAAACGAAATTGATTTTTTGAAATCTATCATCATTAAAGTAATGGATTTTATTGTTTATAATGTAACGTTGGTGCTATTACCGGCTGGCGGTACGGTGTCCGCACGTTACCGAAATGAGCCGAACGCTCTCATTTTGTTTTTGTTAAAAGAAATTGTGGCTTAGTAATAAAATGTTGCGCAATACCGCAATGCGTTGTTTTGGAACGGAAACGAGCATTCTATTTTATGAGCTCAAAAGTTGCGCTTTCAAATAAAGAAGATCCCGCGAAGGAGAGAGTCGACTAAGACAATTAACGAGGCCGACGACAGCGTTATTGTAGGACAATGCTGCGATATTTCAAGCGGCGAACGGACGCGGGACGGACGCGGGACGGACGCGGGACGGACGCGGGACTGGCGTTCGGCGAGATTTTGACAGGCGCTCGTCGCGACTGAGCTCTTAATGAAGCGGTAAATAATGAGCAGAGGTGTTGCGCCGTGAGAGAGCCGTGTCTAATTAACAGACGGGATCACGACCAGTTTACATATTCGAAACTTCACACAAACATACACTAGCACATGGCTCGTTATTACTGAATGCGTCGTAACTATCATTGGAAGTAACGGTCCTAGTAATGTAGCATAAGAATGGCGTATTACAAAAACATCGGCAGGTAAGTGAAGGCTCGTTAGTCGTCCGAGGCTCGCCGCTGTCGCACAGTTTTTATCGCTGAAATCGCGCGTGCAGCGGTCACTTCTAGTCTCGGAGCGAGCAACGGCGACCTCTAACTCGGAAACCAGATGAAACAAAAAGAAAGAAACGCAGGCACGGGCCGTGAGAACGCGTCTCCTTCGCCGCGGTCGGCCCGGACCTTCCATTTATCTTGCACAGTCGTGCGGGAATGGGCCGGACAGCGATGTGCTTTTATTGCATCGCGCCCCTAAATATAGGCCTGCGGAGGCTAACCACAACGCTTTTAGCCCTAAAATGATTGGTCGCTCAACTGGTTTAATGGTATGAGAGAAATATATAAAATAGTTTATCACTGGTTTGCTCTATGGTAATATGTTTACATGTAGGTAAGCAAAGTAGACAGCATAGTCAATAAGCAGGTAAGTACACAAACATAAACACTATACAGCTAATAAACCGACTCCTATAAAAATATTCATAATATGCGAAAAACACTATTAGATGGCGTACTGAACCGCTGCCAAATGGTCGTAATTTCAGTGTTTCTTTCATAATACTAATAACATTGGCGATCAGCCGTTATGTGAGTTGTCAGAACATCTTTTGTAATGTAATTGAAATGTCAACATATTATATTTAGTTAATTTGCAGTGAAACAGGTGGTATTTGACCGGTTGTCCACAACATGCCGAAAGCTATTTGCGTAAACGCTTTGCAGATGACTCTTGTAGTTTTATCTAAAAAGTTGTCATATGCAGTGTACACCATATTGTAAAATGTTATCAACGGACACCGACCCGTGCGTTGTGCAATTGAATCTACGGAATCCAAATGTAATATTCTATTTCAAAGGTTCAACGGTACACGTTAGTCATTTGCTTACTTCTCTTCTTCATAAAAAGATGTAATGTTATAGCTGTGGATTGCTCCTCAATATATTAACGTTTAGTTTTTGTTTTGTGGTCGACCTGACTACGCCCCCAACATTCATTGTGAGGGTCGAAAACGATCGAGAGATTTTATCAACTATATTTTAATACGAACAACATTTTGTAACCACGATATCGAGTTTGTATTAAGATGGCTCGGAACTAATTTGCCTCGTCGGTTGAATGAAGAACAATGAGATAAATGCAAAATAAGCATCTCGAACTTGGGCAAGGCTTTCAATGATGATTGTTTCGCATAATTCATATTGAACGCAAATTAAAATGGAAAAGGTATTCATGAAGAATGCACAATGAGAATATCTAAAAGACTCATTCGAGTGTCTGATGAAAGAAAAAGATTAAAAGGTGCTCGAATAAAACACTTGGCGGATCAATCGATACAAACACGTAGCCTTAGTTCTGAGGAGCCCTCGGCGCACCCTCCTATTGCAAGTCACGGGTGTAAATTCAAGAAAGCTCCCCAATTTAAAACGAAATGTATAACAATAGCATCGCCCCGCTATGCCAATTTCCTCCCTCGACGAACGTTTTCACTACAAAGAAACTGAATAAAATTATCATCCATACATACTGCTTACTATTATTTAAAGCGGAAAGTTAGATTGAACCGTTCCGAAACGAGGAATTTACACAGACGAGAATCATAAAAAGAGAAAAAAGGATATTCCAAATAAACAGAACGCTAAGATGTGGCGCTCATACATCTCGCCGGAGCCGCAGTCTGCCACGCCTGGAATCTGTCCGCTTAAATAGCTGCCTTATTCGACACCGATCACACCCAACGGATTAATTAAAAACATTTGTCAAAATGGCCTTTGGAATGAGAGTTTTCTACGGCGAGCATAATCTATGGCCATATTAATTACACGTTGAAGTAATAAACCAGGCTAACTATGACAGTCAATTAAGTATATACAATCGTTTAGATCGATGGGTGAGTTCATAAATATAAATTGATATTGTAATTGATTTCCGCAAAAGCCCGGTTGGATTTAGTGCTCATTAAATGTAGAGCTGCAGTAATCTGCGGCGGGAGGTCGAACGCGTATGAGTTTGGTGCACATCGGAATGATACAGCGATTTAAATACGGTACATACGCTCGGATTCATTGAACTCGCAACTCTTATTAATAACTCTCATAGCGTGATGTTTGTTTTAGTCGTCTCGTGCGGCGGTTAGGTAATGTTGAAGTTGATTCATGAATGGGAGAGCGCGCGACTCGCGGCTAGCGCAAGTACGCGCCCACTCGCGTATATTTAGCGAATATCATTTTCGTAGAAATATATCAGACGACGGAAGTGCCAACATTTACATTTTACGTTTGGTTTAACTAACGCCAGAAGCACGGGTCACGATACCAAAAATATACTTTCTATTTGGTTGCTACGAACTCTGCTACGAAAATGCGTAGCAGTAATTTTATTAAATCTTGATTTAAAAATGTAATTGAAGTAAAAATTCTAAATATTCACATTAAAGTAGCTCTATAATATTCATAGTAGCCGATGTGTAATCATAACTAGAGCTAATCTGAGACGATAGGATCTCGGGAGCTTACTGGACAACGTAGACGCGCCCCAGGCACAAGTAGGCAGGTTTATCGCTGAAATGAATGGAAGCGATATCGAATAAGCGGCCAATTACTGGTTGGCGGGTAGACTGCGAGGGCCCGCACGT